TTTGCCTAGCTTGGACCAGAACCTACATGTGTATTAAAAGAAGCCCAGTTAGGAAACAGAAATATCTTACTTAGTCAAAGATGTGTTTCAACTAAGATAAGGAAGATGGATTTTTTAATATATGGATCCTGCACAAGGCACTTTTCTTATTTTATCTTACTTGTATGGCTTCAGACATCAAAAATATTCGTAGAGAAATTATTCATACACACACACAGCAAAAAAAAACACACAACCAACCAACCACACCCAAGCAACTTACTTTCTAAGTTGATGGTGTGACACAAGAGGTCAGAATTAGCCCTTGCTGCTACCTTTCTTAATTTCCATCATCACACGAAATTTCAGAATTAGCCCTTGCTGCTACCTTTCTTAATTTCCATCATCACACGAAATTTAAAATTAAGTCCCAGGTAAGAGGGCATTGCACCATCTAAGAGTTGAATGAAGAGAGGCTCATAGCCACCATCATTCCGGAAAGACCCACAGAGCCCCTTTATGGGACCAGATGCTGAGAAACAATCTACCATGACAAGAGCTTCTTCGTTCACTGGAGTCCATATTTCCCTCCTGCTATATCTTAAGAGACAACTGTTATGTTGTGAAAAGAGCATGGGATTTTTTTTTTAATTTTTTTTTTCAACGTTTATTTATTTTTGGGACAGAGAGAGACAGAGCATGAACAGGGGAGGGGCAGAGAGAGGGGGAGACACAGAATCAGAAACAGGCTCCAGGCTCTGAGCCATCAGCCCAGAGCCCGACGCGGGGCTCGAACTCACGGACCGCGAGATCGTGACCTGGCTGAAGTCGGACGCTTAACCGACTGCGCCACCCAGGCGCCCCAAGCATGGGATTTTTATAGTGGAAAATGAATTGCCACATGGGAAAGGTGGCCAGATAACTCCCTGAGTTCAGGGCAGGGAGAATCTTTCCTTGGCCTCTGGGAGTTGTCTGGCCCATGCTAAGTGCCTATCAGGCTCTGTCAGAACAGACCCTCCCTCGGTTTAGGAAGGACAGGGTGGCCACTGTTGTCCACACTGAGGTCTCACAGAGGTCAGGATAACACTGTGGTGATCCAAATGCTACTGGCTACCTCGCTCACCAGGCAATACGAGGAACTAGTCACAGACCTCAGGGATCCCGTCTGATCTACAAAAAGGAGGCAACACTTTTTTTTGGATAATGTTATGTTTTTGCGGCATCAGTACCACAAACGGTGCTGGATCCCTGGAACTTTCTGGGAATGTAGGAGATCCAGAGGTAGAGATTGGTTCCATTGGAAGCTGGCCAGGAGGACAGAGACAAAGACAAAGGATTGTAGTGCAGCCAGACCCCCAAGCAGGGGCGGCGGGGGGGGGTGGGGGGGTGGGTGGGTAGGGGAGCAGAAGTGGGACCCTGGGTCTTCCACACGCTTTCTGAGGTGGACCATAATCGATTAAAAGTTCTCAACAGCGACGAACGTGTTAGGACTGAGATGGAGTTTCCTAGTGGCGGGGGTGGGGGGTGGGGGGCTCATGAGTTCCCGTATGAGGCGTGAACAGCAGAGTTAATTCCAAGACCTCACAAATGAAGATGCTGGGCTGCATCCTACAGGCCTTATGCTGATGTTCATTTACCTGGATTGAGAGCCACTTAGAGATCCACAGGGAAGGCAAAGGAAAAATGGATATGGTGGATGCTCATTTTGTGTTCTTGTGACAGGGTACACTGTCACAGGGAGGGAGGGAGGATGAGCAAAAGGACTGAGGCCTCCAAGGTCGATGACCTGCAGCCTCTAACCCCGTGCTGTCCAGTACAGAGGCCATGGCTACGTGTGGCCCCTGAGCACCTGAATTATAGCTAGTCTGAACTAAGATGTACTGAGCACATCTATACCAGACCTGAATACTTAGTGACTGTAAAACAGCTCATTAATATTTTTATATTGATGGCATACAGAAATGACAGTGTATTGCATATATCTGGATTAAGGGCAGCATATTATTAAAATTAATGTAAAATAAACTAATCACCCATTTTTTTTCACTTTTTAAATGTGGCTACTAGGAAATTTGAAATTACTTGTATGGCTTGTAATATATTTCTATCAGGCAGCGCTGCCCTAAACCAGGGGGAGGGAGAACATTCCTGCCCCCAAATCTCAGATGGGTGCTTGGTCCTCATGGCAAAGATCAGTTTGGCAGAGAGATGGGGCCAGCTGGCAGACAAAGGGCAGGGGTCAATTGTCAGTAAGGAGTGTCATTTGGTGTAGCTGGGACCCTTCTTCAGCACCCGGGACCACCGGTGTACTTGGGAGGGGCTGGGGATCTTCCAGCAAATGCTGGGAGCATCTGTTTGGCACTGGAAGACTGGCACTGTCTCACTGGGGCCACGGCCAACGTGTGATCCATGTGTCCCATATTCACTGGCCTCCACATAGTCTGTTAGAGACGCACCTGCTTCATGTGTTCAAGTGTGGTGAGAACGATGCGGTAAAATCCCACGTCTGTCAACCCCATGGAAGCAGATTTTGCAAAATTCTAATTTTTGCTTAAATGCTCTAATTTTATCATTGGCAACAAGTCCTGTGAGTCGCCCTCTCGAAGCTGTGGGCTCCACTCCCTCCATTTTAAGGAAAGTGTCTCCAAAATCCTCAAGTCTGAATAACCGTGGTTTGTCTCTCTTTCTTGTGCGTGAAAATCGCGCTCCGTGAGAAATGTGGTGAGTTTAGCTCCCAACTCAAGACCAGCACCCAGTGCTCTTTCTGGAGTCAGCTGGAAACGGGTGTGCAACAAAAGCACCTTACGCACACTGCCATTTCCTCACACAGAATAATACAAAGATGGCTGCTCACAGATTGAAGTTTAATACAATTACGAGTTTTTAATGCTCCATCAAGATTATTCTCTTTTTAAAAAAAAAATGTTTAGTTTTGAGAGAGAGAGTGCAAGCGAGTGAGCTGGGGAGGGGCAGAGAGAGTCGGGGACAGAGAATGTGAAGTGGGCTCTGCACTGACAGCAGAGAGCCCAAGGCAGGGCTCGAACCCACAAACTGTGACATCATGACCTGAGCTGAAGTCGGACGCTATGATTGTAATAATCATCGAGATCATTCTTGTGACTTGGGCTTCTAGTTCCCATGAGTTGATGGCAGCGAAGAATAGAATGGATGCTATGTGGTTCCTGCTAAATCACAGCAGTCTTTGCCACCGTTGCTTTTGCACCCTGAGTACAAATATCAACACCATGGAAAGGCGGATCACGTCTTCTGCTTCCTCCTCGTGGGCACCCTGAACATATCTTGACGATTCCAAGGGGTCCGCGGACCACATTCAGAGATGTGCCCGCTGAGGCCAGTGGGGGATGCCCACCGCTTACCTGGTCAGTGTGACCTGAGAGGAAGGAGGGGGCGGCTCCCCGGAAGAGATTCAAAGTTCTCATTTGGCTTTTATAAAGATGAGCCAAGTGAATGCATAGTCCGTGGCCGCAAGAACACCTCCACGCCATACTTACCTTGCATACTGCTCTGCAGCAGACATTTCCTAAAACCCTTTCACAGAACAGTGAAGGGCCCGCTGTGTGCCAGGCCCTGTACCGTTTTTCTTCGTCTGCACGATCTCACTTACCCGAAGTGGTCCTTTGAGGGTGGAGACTAATATAAACCCGATTGGCAGATGAGGATACTTGTGGCAGGTAATTCTTCACCCAGGAGGAGACACCATGGAAAGTAGTGGAGCTTGGACTCCATCCCAACTCTTGACTAGATCACGATCCCAAAATGCCACACAGGAACGTCACCTGTGTCATTAAATACATTGAAATAAATGGATGATTCTCAATTAAAAAAAAAAATCATCAGTGGACATTTTCATCCAATGAAATCTAGAACAGAAGCCTAATCTGTACAACAAACCAAAGCAAAGTGGCTAGCTCAAGGCTGGAGGAGATCTGCGGGGTTGAGCAGACTCAGGTTTCTCCCGTCCTTGGGTCTCCCTGACGTCCCTTGGAGGAATGAATAACTAGGACTCCCAGTACCCTAGGGATAGGGTAAGCATCCCAAACCTACGAGTTTGATCCCTGCTCCTACAGCACACCTTTTAAAGATCTGCTCCATTTAGTTTGCAGGTCGTTGCATTTAATCTGTGCAGGTCGGAAGTTGTTTTCCAAAAAGCCCTGCGGGGAGGTGGCCGGCATGGAAATCTATACTCCTTGCTTTAAATAAGCATTCACAACAAGTTTTCCTTTGCGCCCCTTGTAGTACACTTTAGAAGTGATGTATACAGGATACAGCCACAGCATTCCAGAAGCTCATTCCCAGGGTGAATTACAATGTGCAGCGTGGGAAGGACCCTGGGGCAGAAAAATGATGACCCGCCTGGGCCTTGGTCTGGCCTCCTCACACATCCCAGACTTTAGACAAGTTATTCTCTCTGTCTGGGCATCAGTCATGGCATATCATTGCTAGATTGGTGAGTCAGGATAAGAGATGAATCCTAACCTATATGGGAATTTGGAAATGCCCAAAATGAACATGGCAGGAAAAATACCATTTTGCATATTATTTCAGGTTTTCATGCACTGCTTGGATTAATTGTAAGGTTCTTTTTATTTGTAAAATATTATGTAAATGTAGAATTACTAAAGAATAAATTGCATTTGTGGTTTCAAAAAATTAAGAGTGAGCAATTTCGGTGTAACATTTTATCAGTAATTATTAATGACCTATACGCTGGTAAATATCAAGGTGTCTTGTGAGAAACTGAAATCTCAAAAATGGCAACTGTCTGATTCCACCACTGCTAAATAGTAAGTCAAAAATATTTGCCCTCCATTCTTTGCTTCTGTTTAGAGCCTCATTAGCTTAATGATTTACCTACCTTAAGAAATAGAAATAAAATGATAAGAATACTACATAGAGGTACAATAATTTGTAAGCATATATAAAATTTATTTTCTAAACATACATGTTGTGTTTTTACTGTAAAAGTAACCTTGCTATTCTTTTGTGACTTTTTCCCCCAGATATTTTAAGAAAAATTCTACAGAAGAAGTTTGACCTCTCAACTGATTATGAGAAGGTAATTTTTATTGATACATTTGTTAGTAAAAATAAGTATGAACAAAATTTTGGTTGACTTGAAAGTAAATCTTTAAGCAATCAGTTCACCTGTGAACTTTGTAATTTTCTTTGACTAAGAACTTTTATGGAATATTGAAACATCTTATAAATCCCCTTTGATTTCTAAAGCAGAAATTCCAAAAGTAGCGTTTGAAAAAACATTCACCTTTTAAGCTGTATGTATTTCTGTATTTAAAAACTGAAATTTCCTTAAGGGAAGTAATGGGGTAGGGTTTTTTTTAGCTAAGGAAGGAGAGAACTCCCAGACTAACTAGAATTGTTTGACCATTTCTAGAAACAGGGATGTGTACTTTGTTTCAAAATACAGTTTGGTAGGGGTGCCTGGGTGGCTCAGTCGGTTGAGCTTCCGACCTTAGCTCAGGTCATGATCTCACGCTCATGAGTTCGAGCCCCGCGTCGGGCTCTGTGCTGACTGCTCAGAGCCTGGAGCCTGCTTCAGCTTCTGTGTGTCCCTCTCTCTCTCTGCCCCCTCCCCCTTGTTCTGTCTCTCTGTCAAAAATAAATAAAAACATTTAAAATTTTTTAAAAAATAAAATACAGTTTGGTAAAAAGCAGCTTCACATTGGAACAGGTGTATTGAGAGCTCTGTGTGTGCACTTACCTGGGCTAAGGATAAGGAAAATCGCCCTTGATCTCAGGAGGCAAAGAGCCAGATGGCAGAGACCATACTTGATTGTTTAAAGAAGTAGAAGGAGAAGAAGGAAATAAGTAGATTTATAAGTAACAGGAAGAGGAACGTAGGTGAAAAAACGTAATTCTGACCAGGAGTTCTTGCATAAAAGGTGATTGGGGGGCCTGTTGTAAAAAAAGAAGAAAGATAAGCAGGGCTGGAGCAGGTGGGGAGGTGGCTTTGCTGGCATCCGAGTCTTCGGGGACCACGGGAGCCACCAGGACAAGGTGTGAAAGAGTGGAGAGGAAGGAAAGGTGGCCTGGGACCCTGAACGCTCGCTAATATGAGCAGATGGTATTTTCAGAAAGTATTAAAGGACCTTGCGTGCCCCTGCTGAATACCAAGGTGTTGTGCATTCATTCTGTTTGCATCTGTGATGGATTACCCAAACACAAGAGTGTTCTTTGCTTTTGGTTTACGATGAGTGCAGGTTGCCAGTGAAATAAACAGATGTGTGTTGTCCTGAAAGTTAGGATAATTAAAAAAAAAAAATAGTTGAATCTGTCAGGCTCTTAGTCCTGAAGGATTAAGTACTTTGTCCTCTCCTGAAAGTGGTTATCAAGAGAACAATAAAAGCAGACACACGGGGGACATTCTTGAATGGCCAGCACAGCAAACGTGAATGACAGCGTCCCAGTGTGGTGGGGGCAATGTATGGTGAGGGCGGTGATCTCTCACCCAGTGAATGGTCACCTCAGATGCTGTGGTGACAGTGCCTCATATTCTCAGTTTGCAATAAAGTGATACCCAAGAGAAAACAAATACAGATGCCAAAGAGGAAAGCCTTATCTAAAGACCATTTACATGAATTAGTTTCTCTCTAGCGCTCACAGCCTTCCCTAGTACCGTGGAAAAACATTTTCGCTATGAAATGCCCGTGGCTTCCTATGTCTCCCAAACGTGGTTGCCGATGTCTGCCTGCCTCCCTGGGCAGAACAAAATGACCGTTGCTTGTATATTGATATCGAAAAATAACGTACCATTAGCAGCCTGGCCCGAGTGCCAGCTAGTTCTGCCAAAGAATGGGTGGGGATTGCGCTTCACCTGGTCCAGGCCTCGGAGGATGGGGTCCTGAGACCTTGAGGTGACTCTGGGCACCTCAGCCACTACCCGTGGTGAGATTCTTAGTTGGGCCAGTCCTTTATGGCTGGCTTGGTATTAGATTTGGAGCTCCTGTGAAATTGGAGATCTCCCTGGTGCCTGATTTCCTCTCCACCTCAGGTGCCTTTGCAAATGGACCAACACCATTGGCATGGGGGACAAGTGCACTGAGTCCTCATGCATGACCTGAATTCCCCCTTCACGTGGGATCGGGTCACGTTTTCCACTGTTGTCCAAGAAAGAGGGATTTGGTTAGGGAGAGACACTGGAGAAGCCAGACACCTCAGGAGGGGGGCTCTCTGATTGCTTGTAGTCTGACGTATGCCGGCTGTGTTGGGTTGGAGTCCTCTGAAGCGGACCCTGAGTCAAGGCCTCGCGGTCACGTCATTGGTTTGGGAGGTGCAGGGGACACTGGCGGGGAAGTGGAGAGGTAACACGAGGGAGAGAGGGCAGCCTGGAAAGGGTGTGGCATTAAGCCACCGGCCACGGGACGGCTGAAGCTTCATCCTGTAGAATTGCCGGGGCAATGATGTAAAACCCCAGTGTCCAAATTAGTCCCTGGGAAGTGTGAGGGAGCTGAGGTTTCCGGACTGAAGGGGCACAGGTTAGGGGCAGTGTGGGGGCGGGGGACTGTGTTAAGCCCTAAGCACTTCTGACCTGCTGTGGTACCGGAAAAGGCCGGCAAGCACAGAGTGAAAGATGCCGGTAGCTAGAAGCTTGAGGAGGTACATGGAGATGATTGAGGCTTGAGAGATGTGGGAGCCCCAGCAGCGTCTTCTACACTGACCGGTGCCCACTGGCTTTGTAATTACTGCACTCGCAGGTAAGGTCTGTCCAGGCGAGGGGCCCTGGGGAGGCTTTTCAGCTTTTGTCCTGAGTCGAGCATTTCCTCTTCTGGTGAGTTCTCAGATGGCGGAGGAGCCTGGGCCGCGGGGTCAGTGACTTTCCAGCTGGGTGTTCTTTTAGTGAACTGTCTTCAGAAGGAGGCTCAGAAGCATTCAGCTGACCTTTTGCTCCAAGCGCTGGGCCCGACTTTGGGAGGGAAATAGGACTCCTTTTCACAGAACTGCCTCCTCTTTATACTTCAGCTGAAAGTTAAAGGTAATATTTTAAGATCCTTGGCCCCTTCTCCTCCTTGACATTTTTTTATGTACTTCTCTCTTTCATGTATTCATTTTACAGAGTGCTGGCTAGGAGCAGTGCGTCGCAGGGGACAGACTTGCGAAAGTGTGGCCATTATTCCACCAACTCTCAGCTGGTGGAAGGGAGGTTATGGGATAAGAAATACGCATGGATGTTATGGGCTGAATTGTGCCCCAAATTCATCCGTTGAGGTCGTAATCCCAGCACCTCGGAGAGGGATCGTATGAGACATAGTGTCACTACAAGGGTAATTAACTTAAAATGGGGTGATTAGTGAGTCCTAAGCCAGTCTGACTGGCATCCTTATAAGAAGAGGAGATTAGGACGCAGACACACACGAAGAAAAGACCGTGTGGGGACACAGGGAGGAGATGGCCATCTGCAAGCCAAGGAGGCCTCAGAAGAAACCAGACCTTCCCACACCTCGATCTCAGACTCCCAGGCCCTAGACCTGTGAGGAAACACCTTTCTGTTGTTTCAACACTCCGGTCCGCGGCACTTTGTGAAGGCAGCCACAGCAGACTAATGCAGTCCACAGCTGGACCGTAAGGTGGAGGGGGACACGCATCACGCGAGAAGTTCTGATAGAGGGCCGTGAACGAGAACGTTCCGAGGAGGGAGAGTGTTTTTACACCTGGGATGCATTTAAACTGAGACTTCATTAGGGCACCTGGGTGACTCAGCCCACTGAGCGTCTGACTCTTGATTCCGGCTCAGGTCATGATCCCAGGGTTGTGGGACCGAGCCCCACATCAGCCTCCACGCTGAGCGCCGACCCTGCTTGAGATTCTCTCTTTATATCCCTCCGCCCCCTCCCCCGCTTATGCAGTCTGTCTCTAAAAACAATTTTTTAAATAGTAAACAAATAAACGAACTGAGACCTCAAGGCATGTAGCACAAACGAGAGCTACAGCCTTTCTTCATGAGCATGAGGCTCGAAGCACAAAGCTTCTCCACTGCCTCTGAAGCTTACACTGGGTCATCGTCCTCTCTGTAATGACAACAGCCACTGTTTCTTGTCCACCTTGGGCCAACACTGGCTTATGAGCTGACATCGTTTCTTTTTTTTTTTAATTTTTTTTTAACGTTTATTTATTTTTGAGATAGAGAGAGAGAGAGAGCACGAACAGGGGAGGGTCAGAGAAAGAGGGAGACACAGAATCTGAAACAGGCTCCAGGCTCTGAGCTGTCAGCACAGAGTCCGACGCAGGGCTTGAACTCATGGACCTCGAGAACATGACCTGAGCCGAAGTCGGACGCTTAACCGACTGAGCCACCCAGGTGCCCCAACTTGACATCGTTTCCAACCCCCACAATGACACCTGTCCAAGGCAGAAGTATTTCTGCGCTTCACGTGCAAGAAAATCCTGCCCTCGGAGAGGCTGGGGAACTTGCCCAAGGTCACCCAGTGACTAAGTGGTGAAGGTGGGATCCTTCCCGGGACCGGTCTGACTCCAAACCAACACACGTGCGGCCAACAAAAATTCAGCTCAACCCGGGCCACTGTACTGGAGTCCTAAAGTGACTCATTTGGAAGCAGCTCGCGTTGAGTATTCTGAGCTGTGTGAAAAGACCGTCACAGCCTCAGTGTCGTGCCTTTTATTTATTAAACCATAAAATGTTACAGTGGGTAATTAACCCTGGGAAGGGAAATGAGGAAAAGGGAGGACCGGGCAGAGGAAGCCGCGGAAATCCGAGGAACGGCTCTAATAACCGCCGGTTTCTAGCGTCTCTACAGCACGCACAGTGAGGCAGGTACCCTCGGTCATGAGTTACGAGTATTAACCCGTTTAGACTTTACAGGAGTGGTCTGTCTTCACTCGAGGTGTTAAGGCAGAGATGACACGGGCAACTCACCTGCCCACTCAGCGTGTGCCAAACGCCGTGCTCCAGATACAACCTGAGCCGCGCCAAGCCCCTGAGTGTCATTCTCTCGGGGATCAGAGTGCAGGCGGACCCCTTCCCGGGTTCTCTGAGCGCCGGCTGACGGAAACCCAGGGAAAACAGCATGACCTCCCCCTCCTCCAAGCTCACGTGGAGTTTCTGCAGAGAGAGCCCCTCAGCCTGGCTTGTCGGGTGGTGACCCCCCCCCCCACCAAGGAAATAAAAGGACACAATTCCTGTCTTCAAAGGATGCATAGTGTGGAGTGTAGGTGGATGGCTTCCCATCGCTTCCCACCAGCAACCCCTAAGTGCCACCTGCACCTCTAGAAACCTTTCCAGGGGACAGTTGTCCCAGCAACGCCCGTCACCTCCGTCTTTTGATTCTGCACATCCCGGTCCGTCGGAATGGACGGCTTCTTTGCAATGACCTCCTGGATTTGTTTCCTTGTGGCCACAGTCCATCCCCACTCCTGCCTCTTGGTTGGCTGGTTTGTATCTTCGTCCTTCATTTCATTCCTCGGTTATTACCTTTACCTTTCTTTTAATTTTTTTTTTTTACATTTATTTATTCTTTGAGAGACATAGAGAGACAGAGCACAAGTTGGGGAGGGGCAGAGAGAGGAGGAGACACAGAATCCGAAGCAGGCTCCAGGCTCTGAGCTGTCAGCACAGAGCCTGACATGGGACTCAAACTCATGAACCGTGGGATCATGACCTGAGCTGAAGTCAGACATTTAACCGACTGAGCCACCCACCCACACGCCCCTATTTTTTTTAACTTTTTAATGTTTATTTATTTTTGAGAGAGACAGAGACAGAGACAGAGTGTGAGCAGGGGAGGGGCAGAGAGAGGCAGAGAGAGAGGGAGACACAGAACTCGAAGCAGGCTCCAGGCTCTGAGCTGTCAGCACAGAGCCCGATGCAGAGCTGGAACTCATGAGTTGTGAGATCATGGCCTGAGCCAAAGTGGGATGCTTAACTGACTGAGCCGCCCAGGCTCACCTTTCCCTTTCTTGAAGCTTCCTCTGGGGGCAGGTGCTGGGCCTGGGCCTCATCCCTGCTGCTTTTCTTGACCTCACCAGTGCTGACAGTCACTGGATATCGATTTGGCACTTAGGAAACGTCAGGTCATTATTCCAGATGGGTTTGTGGTGTTTGGAGCCCACCCTGCATGTCCGCGAAAGGTAAGTGAATGAGTTCCCTGTTTCCTGCCCTCCAGGAGAGCGAGGCATGCTGCCTGGAAGAGCACACTCCCCTTTCCCGGCAAGAGAAGCACCTTCCAGAGATCTCGGAAGCATTTAGAGAGCAAGCAGTGCACGGCAGTCTGTGCCCAGGATCATGTCTGGGGCTTGCTGGAACTGAGGGATGGGAATAATGCTACCGTGCGTTGATCGTTACATCTTCTTGTTAAACATCATCTTCGTGATGGTGATGACAATTGATTGAGCATGACCCTGGGACACCCGGGTCTGAGCACTTCACATGTATTAACTCACCTCGCATACATTAAAGCGTTTAGAACAGAATAAGGCACTGAGCATGTTGCTTCTCACCGTTTTCTCTTGTTGTCTCTGAAAAACTGCATAAAATAGAGTCTCTGCTGATCCAGATTCCATCAGTAAGGTAACCAAGGCTCAGAGTAGCATTGGCAACAAGGCCTAGGCCCGTCCCCCAGGGATTCTGATGTAATGGGTCAGGGCTGGCTGGTCATTGATATTTTTCAAAAGGTCCCCGGGAGACGATGATGGGTAATTAAGCGGAGTGGGGGGTCGCTGACGCAAAGCGGCATGGCCGGATTCAAACTGCTGCACTGCACCATAATAACCTCATACTGTGTGACAGCCGGCACAAACAGGAAAAAGATGAAGATTCACCCAGCTCCAGCAGTGGGGGGGCGGTTGTTGGCACCCCATCAAATCAGACCAGACTGACTCCTGGGTGGGAATATTAAGTACCAAAGAATCAGCTGATTGTTGTAGCTTACAGGTGCTTCTGCTCTGGCCCCAGCCCAGCACCATCTGCCCTTGGAGCTGAGAGCAGGTGTCCCAAACCCACCTGATCAGGCCATGACACCAGGGTTGGTTTAAAGACAGGCTCCTGGTTTTACCCAAATCTCCTGATACCCGCTCTAGGGGAGGAGCCTGAAGTCAGTGTTTTTCACACATTTATGGTGGTAAGTTGGGGAGACTGTGGGGCCCATGCCCAGGAAGGGAGTCTGGGGTCACTCAAGATGCCCCATGTGACCCTGGGGGCATGTGTACCTGAACTGCCCACCCCGACACTTTGGATGCCTCATTTAACACGTACTAATATCACAAACATTGTTCTCCCACCTCTGTGAAAATCTGCCATCTAAAGCGATAGTTTCCAAACTTTTGGATTTCCCAGAGCACACAGTTGCAAGAAAGTAACCCAGGGAACGACACAGAGCCTAACGTTTATTTTGCCACCCAAGGACATTTAACACCCATCATAACAACAACACCGTATTAACTTTGTCCCCTCTCACGCACATACCACCCCCCTCTCCCCACCAAAAGGATAAACTGAACAAATTTCACCTCACGGGAAACTCGCTGCACCCTACTTTTTCTGTCTTCCTTGCAGGGTGGTCCATCCCCATCACTGGACCACCGTTGAGGGAACTCCCTCGGTTCACCAGTTTACCTGCTTCCGACTGGGCACCTGTTGCATGCCGGGTCCCCGGGTGGGTGCTTGCCAGAGAACGGTGGGCGTGACCTCATGGTTCCTGCTTTCCAGGAGCAAACAATGCCGCTCAGGCAGGGCTCCTGTGGGAGCAGATGCTGACAACGGGCAAGTGTGGGCTCCAAGGCAGCATGAAGGAGGGATGAAAGCAAACCCAGACCTGGTTATCAAGACAGATTTCCAGGAGGAAGCAACATCCAGGCAGACTTGAGTCCCATGAGCAGAGGAGTGAAGGGAATAACGTTCTGGGCAAGGAGGCATTGCCGGGGAGCTCGAGGCAGGAAGGGGGGGCATGAGGCTTCTTCTTAGGACTAGAACGGCCAAGAAGAACAAGGCATGGGGCCAGGATTAAATAACAGGACCACATTAAGAGGTTGGAATTAAACATGATGGGAATCCAGGAAATGCAGGTAAGCAAGAGATGACCCCATCCGATTCTCAGTTTAGAAAGGACACTTTGGAAACTGTTGCCTTCGGCTGGGGTTCAGCGGCTGATCCTCTACTGTGTAAAGACCACACGTTTCGTGTGTCAAGCTGTGTCACTTTCCCTCTAATTTCCCCCGTTCTGTCCACACCTGATTAGCATCCTGATAAGAACCTTTCAGGAAATCCACATATATGTTCCAAATGTAAATTCCAGTTGTTTCTCTAATAAACACTCAAGTTTTATGTTCCTGGCTTATGTGGATCAACCTCTCACTTGATTTGCGCTGTATGGAATGTTAATGTTCTCAGTTGTGGTTAATCGCTCATGTAACTTTTTCTGTTTTCTTGATGCATGCTGCCTTGCCTTACTCTCCTCAACTCCTCCACTGCCTTGACTTCCACAGCCAGAAAATGTAGTCTTGACCCTGAAGGTAAAGTCCTTGCTTGCTGTTTCTCGTGACTCTGTCTAAAGCCAAGGGGAATGAGATGCTTCTACCAGAACTTCCTGTCCTTCCACTGTCGTCTCCGTTGCGATGGTGTTTTAAATGGCTCCTTTCATTTTTGTTTATGGAATCGTCATCAATCTTCTCTTCCAGTTTTAGTAGTTCACCAAAGAATAGCGACCCACCTCAGCAACTTTCCATCTTGATCTTCTCCTCGTAATCCACAAAGCGTTCTGGAGATCCTGGCGTATCAGAAACTCAGTTAGGTCTTTGCCAGACCTTGGCCAGACTTCACCCAGAAGTGAACTCTTGAGATGACATATACCTTGATCCTGATACTGTTTGACATAATATTGAGTCAGTAACGTTGGAAAGGTTGTGTATAAAGTGTGAAAATTGTACTTGGACGTAAACATAGTGCATTTAGAACATTTTGAAAACACCTTCTCTCCTGCATTTGAGTTCAGTGTCTTCTGGACTCAGAAAAGATTTTAAATCCCTTTTAAAATAGTAAATAATTGGGACACCTGGGTGGCTCAGTCAGTTAATCATCCAACTTCGGCTCAGGTCATGATCTCACCGCTCGTGGGTCCGAGCCCCGCGTCGGGCTCTGTGCTGACAGCTCGGAGCCTGGAGCCTGTTTCAGATTCTGTGTCTCCCCATCTCTCTCTGCCCCTCCCCCGCTGATGCTCTGTCTCTCTCTCTCTCAAAAATAAATAAATGTTAAAAAAATATTTTCAAAATAGTAAATAATTTAGATCATTTTCTGGGAAATGATAGGGAAATAGAGAAATAAGAATTTGGAGTATCTCAATTGGCCGATGATGTGGGTCCTCAAGGGCAGGTTACAAGCACAGTAGGTAATGACTCTCTGTGGCCATGGGGTAGGGCTTGGTTTAAGCGGGAGCATGTATTTGATGAATGAATGAAAAATTCAACCACTTTTTTTTTTTTTTAGCATTTTATCCTTAATCTCAAAGTACATAATATTCAGGTGTCATGTGCACCTCGGTCCTCTTAGGCATTTGTCCACAGACTTAATTACTATTCACTGAATATTTGCTGTGTGCTGGGCACTTGGCTGGCTGTTTTCACATTCAGTCGTTTAATTATCTGACCCTCACAATATGCGTATGACCTTAATGCTAATTCCGGTTTAGGGAACCAGAAGCCCTCCCCTGCCCCTACCCCGTGTAATTTAAAGCAGGTCTTCTGACTCTCAGTTCAGTGTTAAGACCTCACATTCATTTCGAGGAACAACACCTGTGTCTTTTTTTACTTCGCTCAGCTTGGCTTCAGAATCTGTTGTTAGCGAGCCGGTCCATTAGTTGTAAACAGCCAGCCTATAATTGTCATTCTTTAAACAATGTCTTGCTTTATGGAAACATGAGTTGCAGTAAGCTCTAGTTTTGTCATCCAGTGGCATTATTTTTGTTTTTATCCCAGAATGAAGCCAGCAGTGATTATAAAAATATATTTAGGTCACATGATTGTATCCAGAAGCCGTGCTAGTTCCTAGGAACGTAGGGAACTGTCTGAGACAGGGGCCGGCAAGCCCAGCCTCACCCACACGGCATGAAAAGACCATTTATTAAGTGTCTGCTCTGGGCCACATACTTCCCCTGACACGTTATCATTGATCAGACACTATCTGTAATGTTCACAATGACCTTACAAGATGCGTATTATTACTCCCAGCATACGGATAGGGAAACAAAGTGAGTGGCCAGTGATTAACATATCTGACTCAGAAAGTCTGAGCTTTTTTCCTAAATTTAGATATATTCCAGATTCTTTTGTAACTGTGGGTTTGTCATTAATTGATCTGATCTGAACTGCTTTGAATTCTTAATAACTTCTACTGGTCCTGTCTTTCTGGTGAAAAGCATCCTGTCATGTAGATTATTCATAATGCAAGTATTTCTGCCAAAATTTGTTACACCATTTAAACACAAACAAAATATATTTGGGGTTTAAAGTAAGTCATTTGCAACTTGACCCTGCATTTGGACATTTTACTGTGAGTTGAAAGAAGATAGTAATGACTTGTTTACACATTCTGATAACTCCAATCTCTGTTACTCCTTTTTTTTTAATAAAAATATTTAATGTTTATTTCTGAGAGAAGAGAGAGAGACAGAACATGAGCAGGGGAGGGGTAGAGAGAGAGAGAGGGAGACACAGAATCTGAAGCAGGTTCCAGGCTCTGAGCTGTCTGCACAGATCCTGACATGAGGCTCGAACTCACAAATGGTGAGATCATGACCTGAGCCGAAGTTAGACGCTTAACTGCTTAACAGACTGAGCCACCCAGGCACCACTCTGTTACTTCTGTTTCAAGAAGGAGCATCAAAATGGAAGCACACACACACACACACACACACACACACACACACATTACGATTCAACTCACAGTGGCAAGTAGGTTAAAAAAAACAAAACAGGTACACCGTGGAATGTTCTACTCGTTATTTTGTGTTAGAGGACATGCTGTTTCTTTTGTTTGACTTGCAGATTATCTACTATGAAATCGGGGTCATCATCTGTGCTGTCCTGGGACTGCTCTTTGTCATTCTGATGCCCCTGGTAGGGTTCTGCTTCGGTCTGTGTCGTTGCTGTAACAAGTGCGGCGGAGAGATGCACCAGCGTCAGAAGAAGAATGGGCCCTTCCTGAGGAAGTGCTTTGCGGTCTCCCTCTTGGTGATTTCTATATTTATAAGGCGAGTAGAATCTTGGGGGACAGCTGATTGTGTTTTGAACTGTTCAGCCCATGCCTTTAATACAAAACAACAACCACCACAACACAGCCATAAAACAGAAGAAGACAAAAATGCTTGTCCGGGGTGGTTCAAAACAATGTTACCATAACCAGAAGTTAGGGTTGTCATCAGGGTGCCAAGCCAACCCTTCGGTGCTTGTTCGTGTCGAAGACGAGCTGATAAATCTTGGCCTGCAGAAAGCTTTTACCCCGCACAACAACAGTCCTTCCTTTTAAAAAAAAAAAAATTTAATGTTTATTAATTTTTGAGACAGAGAGAACACGAGCGGGGGAGGGGCAGACAGAGAGGGAGACACAGAATCTGAAGCAGGCTCCAGGCTCTGAGCTGTCAGCACGGACTCCACCGTGGTGCTCGAACTCATGAACCGTGAGATCATGAGCTGAGCCGAAGTCGGACGCCCAGCCGACTGAGTCACCCAGGCGCCCCGGCAGCTCCTTCCTTAAATAGCTGTTTGGAGACAGGCGGCCTGCAGAAGGCAGAGAATTTGCTTGTTGATGTGTGCATCCAAAGGGATCCTGAAGGATGGGTACAGTCCCTGAATCGGGGAATGTGAGAACACTGTAGAACAGAATTAACTTTCTAATAATAAACCCACTTTTCCTGAATTTGCAGTTAAGCTGCTACCCTCTGCGGAGGCCTGGAACACACTTCATAATTTAGGATGTGTTTCTTCTACGGTCCCTTTTGCTCTATCAGCTTTCCAACTGCCTGACAGATCAGGAGTACGCTGCTCTTAAGACAGTAGCATTTTGCCGAGTCCAAATCAGAATCCTCGGCTGAGCAATGTGCTTTACGTTAGGGGTCCCCTGGTTGCGATATTTGGTCATGGTTCCACATTTCCTCATTCATTCAGCCAATGAATGTCATGACATTTAGCGACAGAAGTGCTTATGACGTGACTAGTGCTAGGCCCCAAGGAGGCACAGAGACCGTGAGGACTGACAGTCAGCCTCCTCCTCGCTGTTTCTTCCAAGCACCGTGTTTGCTCGGTAGCTGTAAGATTTTTCTGGTTTCACTAAATAACTGATGTTCGGGAATTTAAGCAGAAAACAGGATTAAACAGAACAATGTAAGCTGGCCTACCAGCTGAAGTTTTAGATGGGAATCCAAGAAGAAAAGTTCTTCAGTTGTGGCTATTAGTGGGATCCTGGTAAGACCTACTCTTTGGGGTGATCATTCATTGGAAGGCGGTATACCTAGGGATGCCTGGGTTGTTCAGTTGGTTAAGCGTTGGACTTCAGCTCAGGTCATGGTCTCGTGGTTCGTGGGTTCGAGTCCTGCGTCAGGCTCCATGCTGACAGTGCAGGGCCTGCTTGGGATTCTCTCTCGCTCTCTCTTCCTCTCTCCCTGCCCCTCCCCCACTCAGGCTTTCTCTTTCAAAATAAATAAATAAACTTTAAAAAAAAAAAAAAAAAAAAGGAAGGCAGTATTGGAAAGGACGGGACTGATCCCGACGTGCTGATATGAACCAGTCCCCAAGAGAGATGAATTCACAGAAGCAACTGGCAGACCATGTATATATACAACATGGTCCCTACGACAAAAACAAAAAGGAGAGAGACACAAACACTTGATTATATTTACACAGAGCATCTGTAGTAGGCTTGCCAAGACCCTGACGCAGTGGTTGCCCCTGGGAAGGAACTTTGGTGGTTGTGGAGGGTAGGAAGGAAATCACTTCTCACGGCATATAGATTTTTTTTTTTTTGTCTCTTTTGAATTACCTACCATGCCTCAGGTATTACCTACCAACTTCATTGCACCAAAAATTAAACTTGAACAACCAAACAAAATCTTCACAAAAAGCTTAAAAGGCAGTGCATTCCACTGACTCCAGGGCAATCATTTTTTTTTTTTTGGAACAAAGACACACTGTTGCTGCAAATAGTTAAATAATAGACCTTAACGGTCTATGTGCAAACAGGACCCAAGTGAATGCATTGCTAATTTCATGCATCCTTGTTTGGCCACCAGGGAGTTATTTTTGTTTTCTCTGTCTCTCTGTCTGTCTCTCTACTTCTCTCTGTAAATAATTTGTTTCTGCACATTGAATTCTGAAGAGCAGCTTGAGATCAGGTCAATGGTGATTTCAGATGTCCCTGTCTCTCTGCTTTGTGTTTGAAGTCTTTTCAGGAATGCACGGACCTTACAGCTATGGAAGTGGTTACCTCCTCCCAGCTACCAGGAAAGTGTTAGTTGCAGTCCAAAGAGACGTCAGACCCAGCAGAGATCATTGTGCATTTCTTTTAAGCCTAAAACTTCCATCTTTCATTCATCCAGAGACTTGGACAGCCATGCTTCTCCCTCTGTAGAGGCATACCCTGAACATCCAAAATGAGGCCCACATGACAAAGTGTCATCTAAAAATACTCGCCATTAGGGCTTCTTGTTCACATGATTACTTAATAGTTAATAGTTTTCACTTGATATAAATACATGTGATATAATTTCAGGAAAAGTCTTTGTTGCATGTAGTTAACCTATTTACCCAGATAAATGTTTACATATGTAATAATGGACTTCCCAGGTTTTTTTGAACGAAGCACATATTCTATATTGGGTTTCTATTTTTATTTTTATTTTTTAAATTTAAATCCAAGTCAGTTAACATATAGCGTATTAATGGTTACAGGAGTAGAATTTAGTGATTCATCACTTGCATATAACACCCAGTGCTCATCTTAACAAGTGCCCTCCTCAGTGCCCATCACCCATTTAGCTCATCCCCTGCCCACCTGCCCTCCTGCAGCCGTCAGTCTGTTCTCTGTATTTAAGAGTCTCTTATGGTGTGCCTCCCTCTCTGTTTTTGTCTTATTTTTCCTTCCCTGGGTTTCTACTTTTAAATTGGGCTTTTATTTACATTACGTATAATTATGTGTCACATATGTCATACTTCCCCCGGAACTCTTTGAATTATTTATATTATGTTTAAAATACCAAAATATAATTAACAATAAAGCTACAAAGTTGGAAATAAACTTGACTTTCATTTATATGTGAAATGAAGGTGACAGTTTTTTTTTTCTTCAGAACTCAGATCCATCAAACAAATTTAGATAAGTGTTTTTTTTTTTCTCCCCAGGGATATTTTAGTTTAAAAAATTCTTTTAAAAAATACATCCTGGGGCGCCTGGGTGGCGCAGTCGGTTAAACGTCCGACTTCAGCCAGGTCACGATCTCAAGGTCCGTGAGTTCGAGCCTTGCATCGGGCTCTGGGCTGATGGCTCGGAGCCTGGAGCCTGTTTCCGATTCTGTGTCTCCCTCTCTCTCTGCCCCTCCCCCATTCATGCTCTGTCTCTCTCTGTCCCAAAAATAAAAATAAAAACGTTGAAAAAAATAAAAAATACATGCTGTGATTCTACAGCCTTGTATACATTCAGTTTAGATATTTTTCCCCACTCAAGTAAAACTTACTATGTTAAAACCCATAACTTCAAATTTCAAGATAATTAAAACAAAATTGATCACCTATTTGAGGCCAAGTGACAAATTTAAAACAAATTTTACGTAATACATTGAATTTATATATGAATTATAGACAGCTCTAAAAAGGAGTACCATTTGAGATTACTTAGTTTACTTTAAATTCACACTAGAAGTTTAAACTTCTTGGCTGGAAGTGTAAAAACTTAGAATCGCTATCATGATGTCTTTTGAAACCTCTGTTTGTTCGCAAGTATTTTCAACATCATGAGTCAAATACTAGCTGTATATTCTTTGCAAAGTAATCAGAACTAGCCAAAGAGGTTAAAGACCAAGGGAAAGTGAAGATTTCTGTTACAATTCGATAGAAAGGAGAGTAAGAGTATGTCCACGAAATCATAGGAGATAAAAATAATAGGGGAAAGAATGTCAATAAAGCTAGGAGGCAGAAAGAGAAGAAAAAGATATTTGCTTCTGGCTTACACTGACCTCAGCAGAGATTGGGTCCTATTGATAAATAATCTTTGGATATGATTTTTTTAATTTTTAAATTTTTTTTTATTTTTTGCATATGATTTTTTTTGTAAACCCAGAGCAGTCTACTTGCCTTTTATCAGGCTCAATTTCATTTTGTGGCATTCCACTACATCACAATTAATACCGACGTTGGTTTTTAAATGCATCTTCAGTCCTCTTATTTTTCATCCATCCTTTTTTTTTTTTTTATTTAAAACAAATTAAATCTTTTTTTTTTTTTTAATTGAGAAAGGCATAGGTGTTAAGGAGAAAGGTCCCCTAGTACATATGGAATATATGTGGTCATGTTCTCTCTCTGAGCTCTTCCAGAGGCAGCTGTGGAATGTTAGAATTCATAGACGTTGACATATGTTTATGTAAGTCTTTTTGACCCTCAGCAGAATTGAATTTCCATCTCTCACTGTAGACTGTTGAAGCAGATGTGTGTTACTCCAGAAAAAGCCAAGTTTCCTCTCCCTTCTTTCTTTTACACTTTGTCATCGCTGCATTTTTTAGAATTCCAAAAGGTTATGGACAGTAACAAGAGCGAAACAAATAGCCATATTTATTTTTCCAGTATATTTCTAAGTTTCTGACTACAGCAAACCAGCTTTTCCAGTTGCCATGGTGAAAATTGAATTCCAGTCTCTTTCAGGAAGATGGCTGTTTTCAAAATTCATTTTTTTAATTAGGATTGTGATGGTCAATTCCTGGCATGGAGGCCACAAGGTTCTAGAAAAGAAACTGAGCATGCCTGAAAATCATGAGATTTTCAAGATGTGAATGAGAGAGAGAGTTATTTGAAATTAAAATTAAAATTAAAAAACTATCTTTAAAAAACAAGAGATCAGTTATAGACTGAGAGCATTTATTTGGCAATTATTGGCTAATTTCATCAAGTCAGTGGAAATTGGTAAAAAATAAATTGCTACAAATTTTACAGGGTTAACCTCAGTTTTTAAAACTTCTAAGTTCACTTTTAAGTGTATATGCGAGAAGAATGGTCTGTCCATTAAAAATATAGAAGATGTAATATTAATATACCATAAAAATTAAAATTCCTATATTTGGCTAAAAAGTTCAAGAGATCTTGTTGTACCGCATAAAAGCATATGTTCTTAATATTTTTTATGTCAAATGCCAGATTCCCCTTTTTGTGTGAGACAGTTCCCTCAGTGTTCTCCTATTCTAATAGTTGGCTGACACATTCATGTGATTTTTTTTTCTGCTTAAAAAATATATTGAGGGGGCACCTGGATGGCTCAGTGAGCACTTGACCGACTCTAGATTTCAGCTCAGGTCATGATCCCAGGATCGTGGGTTCAAACCCCGCATCGGGCTCCGAACTGAGCACGGAGCCTGCTTATGAGTCTCTCTCTGCCCCTCCCCCACTCGCACACACGTGCTCTCTCTCAAAACAGAACACTAGACAAAAAAAAAGAAAACAAAACATATTGCGTAATAGGATTTTCTAAATCAAGGGCAACAAGAAGCATAACTTCTTTATTCTCTATTTGTGTTTAAATGAGAGTTTTAAATTAGACATTGCAAATGGAGACTGTCAGTTGGTCTGCTTCTTATTTAGAGGTTTTTTTTTTCCCTTTACTTAGTAGGTAAAATTTTATCTTTTTAATAAAGTCTTTTTATTTATTTTGAGAGACACAGAGACAGTGCAGGTGGGGGAGGGGCAGAGAGAGGGAGGGAGAGAGCAGCCAAGGCAGGCTCTGAGCTGTGAGTGCAGAACGCCACTCAGGTCTCGAACTCACGAACCGTGAGATCATGACTTGAACCCAAACCAAGAGTGGGACGCTTAACTGACTGAGCCACCCAGGCATCCTTTAGTTGGTAATATTTTAAAAGGGGAAATTTTACATAAGAATACAGATTTCCGGATTTTTGGAATGAGTGGAAAGTCTGGCAGTGCAGAGCATCTGCCCCCACCCCCACCTGCCACCTCCCAGCTCCTAGCGGTTCATATCGTAGGTTTTGCCCTTTGTGGTTTCTGTGTAGGCATTTGAATTTGCCATCCTTCATATAAGATTTACAATGTGTTATGGGTCTGAAAATCAGCTCTGAAAGCTGCTGAATTTTATTCCAGAATTCTGTGTAGGACAGTTTGGTTTTTCAAAAAAAGATCAATACTTTCATTTTAATTGGATTCGTAACTGATTGGCAGAAATGTGGGTCTTTTTAAATATGTTGCATTGAAATTCAGTATTGTTTTGCAGAGTTGTATTGCATTTCATTTTACTGATTGATGATCTTTTGAGTAAAGGCATCTATCCAGTAAAGGAACACAGTTTATGACCAAGACTCTCCAAACATAAGGCTAATCTTCTAAATGGATCAAGTGAAATAAAGCCCAGTCTTTAAACCCACTTTCACTGAGCACCCCGCCCCCCACCCCGTGGACTAGAGACCCATCGTTCACCTAAAGTTGACAAAGAAGCAGTTCCCACCTCTTTCTAGGGAAATTAAATACAAGTAGAAATAAAGACAAAATAGAGTATGAAGTGAGCAATGGCCCACGAGAATTTCAGGGAGAGCGCTCTGGGAGTTCGGGGCCAGGAGGTTCTTCTTCCGTCTAGGGGGTTCGGTGAAAGCCAAGTGCACTTGGACCTGTGTGTTTCTCAAGTTCATTCTACCTTCTTACATGACAAAATCGGTCTGGAGCATGATGGGTGACCATGTGGACACGCGGGGGAGAGAGAGAGAGAGCAAGGGGCCCCAGCGTGAAATGCTGGGGTGGGCAGGTATACTCAGGTGTTAGCACTGACTCGTCATGGGGTGGACTGTTTGAAACTGGACCTGGTAATAAAGATCCAGGTGCGTTGCTACAACCCACTCTTTCCTTTATTTTTCTGTTCACACTACTCCAAAGTCCTTGCTTTGGGTCATTTGGCCTCATTTGGCATGGGTGCATCATTTGATAACTATTACTTTTATGCTATATTGCCTGCCTCATGAGTACAAAGGTAGACTTAAGACTGGCAAAGATGGATTGTAAGGTGATCGTTCCAAATGGCACAGATTATTGTTAATATGCTTTTTTTTTTTTTAATTACCATCCGCATGAACCCAAACCTTAGAAAAAAGTCCTGGAGGGGCACCTGGGTGGCTCAGTCGGTTAAGCGCCCGACGTCGGCTCAGGTCATGATCTTGCGGTCCGTGGGCTCAAGCCCCGCGTCTGGCTCTGTGCTGACAGCTCAGAGCCTGGAGCCTGCTTCAGATTCTGTGTCTCCCTCTCTCTCTGACCCTCCCCCGTTCATGCTCTGTCTCTCTCTGTCTCAAAAATAAACATTAAAAAAAAAAAAAAGTCCTGGAGAGCTTGTGGATATCCATTACCCTTCTCCTTTGCAACAAGAGAAGTACTTATCCAGTTTAACTTTCAGTTTTGCAGTACTGGCTGAAACTCAGAGAAGGAAAGTGACTTTCCCAAGCTCCCACGGTGTAAGTTAGTGGCAGTAGAAGGACTAGAACCTGAGTCTCATGTTCCTACTCCAGTACACGTTCCATGGCAACTTGTTAACCATAAGAAATACTTTTCAACACTGTGTATTCTTACAGACTTTTTTTGGCTTCATTTGGCAAACATAATGTACCTGTGTAATACTGCTCAGGGCAAATACGTTTTATGTGAGACCAGCAATGAACCAATGCTGTTTGGAATGAATCGTGACTATATATAGGGTGAATGATTATCCCCATTTCCCAAGATGGAGAAGTTGCCTGAGAACATGGGACTCTGGGTGCAAAAAAACAGGCACTTGGCCACAGTGTTTGTCTGTTACTTACAAAACTTTGTTCTGGAAACATATCCACATCTTCCACTGGATAGTTACAAACAAAAGATTTGTTGTACATTTCTGTAGGTTTACGGTTCTGTTAGGAGTTTGTGTAATTCCTTGCTGCCATCTAGTGGTGAAATACAGAAGAGCCTTAGTAATTCCCAATTCTCAATGTAACATTTTAACGTTGGAAGGCTCCGACACAAAAACCAGCTGGTCAAATTAAGTCAGGAGATTGTTAGTAACTAGTTAGCATTAAGAACGCTTAAAGTGATCAAATGCAGACATCTTAGATGAATTGAAAACTCTGTTTTTAATTTTCACATACAGTAGCTTTCCATGAGCAATGCCTTTCATAGTGTTTTTTAAACTCTTTTATTTAAGTCTATTTTACATAGACTGGAGCATCCATATCATAAGTACGTAGGCGTCAACTTCCATGTCGTGAACGTGCGGATGATGTCATTAGCCACCCCTCCCCAAACAGAACCACTGAGTTTTAGCACCATCATTTTCTCGAGGTGGTACATTACATAAAATAGAACGATACAGTATGTATGCTTTGTTTACAGCTTCTCATGTGGCATTTTAATACTAAAGTAACTCATGTTTCTTTTTAACCTGTAAAATAAAACTAATAGAGACAATTAGAGAGATCCCTGCCTTTGGAGGGAGCAGAGGTATGCATGGGAGGTGCGTTTATGCGTGCACTGTGCAGGAGGATGTACCGCCATATTCACATGTGTGCAGGAATGGGACTCTGACGCGCTCTGTCTTATAACCTTTGTTCCGTTTCCTCCACAATTTCTTGGGAACATTGTTCCATTTATAAGATTTCCTATTCAACAGAACAGCATATCTTAAACAGGTATGTGCCTCCTCCAAGAGGACCGAGTCCTGTTTTGTGGCCCACGTGTTGGATTATGGGATCTTGGCAGGAAGGCTGTGGCAGGGGAAGAGGGCCTGGTGGGGAGGAGGGTCCCGCCATCGTGGGGCCTCTGCTCAGAAGCCCTGCTCCCCTCCCATCTACAGAGCTGCTCTGTGCCTGGCCAGGTGACCACGGGTCACACACTGAATGCTCTTCTTCATTTCCTGCAGCATTGGTATCATCTATGGTTTTGTGGCAAACCACCACCTGAGGGCCCAGATCGAAAAGACTTGGAAACTGGCAGACAGCAACTTCAGAGACTTGAGAACTCTCCTGAACGGAGCTCCAGCGGTAAAAACCACACTTGTGCATCCATGATGCTTTGTGTTTGGGCCTCTCAGAGTCCCTGTATGTATCTGGGACCCCCTTTGGATGTCTAGAGACCCAGTAAATCAGCATAGACAGGTGCTATCCTCATCTTATAGATGAGGAAATAAAGGCCCAGCAAGTGATTTTCAAAAGAGTATAAAAGCGTAATTGCAGAACTGGTGTCATTATTTTGTTATTTTATTTATTCTGCTTTATTTTAAGGCACAACAGGGGATCCTGGGTGGCTCAGTCGGTGAAGCATCTGATTCTTGGTTTTGGCTCAGATCGTGATCTCATGGTTTTGTGGGTTCGAGCCCCACGTTAGACTCTGTGCAGACAGTGCAGAGGCTGCTTGGGATTCTCTCTCTCGCTCTCTCTCTGCCCCTCTCCCACTCACACTGTCTCTGTCTCTCCCAAAATAAATAAATAAACTCAAAAAAATTTTTAATTATTTTAAGGTATAACATAAGATTATAATACTTATTATAAAACTGCTTAACTATCTTAAGGGTCTCGTGATTTTTTTTATTTTTTATTTTTTTATTTTTTTTTAAACGTTTATTTTTGACACAGAGAGAGACAGAGCATGAACGGGGGAGGATCAGAGAGAGGGAGACACAGAATCTGAAACAGGCTCCAGGCTCTGAGCCGTCAGCACAGAGCCCGACGCAGGGCTCAAACTCACGGACCGTGAGATCATGACCTGAGCCGAAGTCGGCCGCTTAACCGACTGAGCCACCCAGGCGCCCCAGTGATTTTTTTTAAAAAGAAAAATCTGGGTGTTATTGTCCTTTCCCTTTGGGAATACCTGCCATTTGTGTGCAGTTACTCTTGTCATGAAAATTTTCTGCTTTATAAATACCCATTTGCTAGTATCTGTACAGTTGTGTAGAATTCCTCGGGAAGGGGACACTGAGACACATGCGTGCACACACACACACGCATGCACATGCACACACATGCACACACACGCACGCACACACACATACACGCACACTCAGAAGTTGTTTTGGGGAGAAGGGGAACAGGGTGACTGGAGGGCACATTTTTTTCTGTATCCCAGAAGCATGTTAATGTCTTGCCTGTACAAAATACTGTTTTTAAAGATACCTGAGCAGAAAGCAGCTTAAATAATTGATGCTGGGCTGATGGGTACCAGAATGTGCAGAAGGATGCCCTCCTGTTGAATTCACTAATCAGAGCCCACTAGGATCCATGGGCTTTTTCACACAGAAATGCACTCTTCTAAGTTTAGTCTACCAAAACAATACTAACACATCAAATATTGTATCAGTTTTTAAAAATGTGGTTAGAACTAGGGGTGCCTGCGTGGACCAGTCGGTTAAGCGGCCGACTTCGGCTCAGGTCATGATCTCACACTTCGTGAGTTCGAGCCCCACGTCGGGCTCTGTGCTGACAGCTCGGAGCCTGGAGCCTGCTTCGGATTCTGTGTCTCCCTCTCTCTCTGCCCCTCCTCCGCCCTGCACTCTGTCCCTCTCAAAAATAAATAAACATTAAAAAAAAAGACAGAGAGGTGGATCTGTTTCCAACCCCTTGAATCTGGTCTGTGCCTGTGACTTGCCGTGGCAAGAAGAACACAGTGCACGTGACCCTGGCCTCAAGCTCCCGGAGACCTTGCAGTGTTCACTCTCATTCCCTGCTGCCAGGACCATCATGTGAAAACACCCAGACTGGCCACTTGGAAGAAGAGGCCATGTCAGGAGAGGGGCCCATTTGTCCCCAGGGGAGCTGGCCCCGCCCAGACTCTCAGAATCAGGAGAAAGTATAAATCATGCTTCCTGAGCCAAGAAGTGTTGGAGTGTTATTAGGAAGTCTGGGTATCAGAACATATAAGCGTCTTTAAGAACCTGCTTTATTTTTTTTAATGTTTGGATTCAGGGTAGTTTTTGTATGTTAAATCTCTTTTTATTGTGGCTTTGAACTTTAGAAGAGGTCTCATACAATTTTACTTTATTTTATTTTATTTTTTTTTTAGGAAATCAGCTATATCCTGAGCCAGTACACCACCACTAAGGAAAAGGCATTCTCAGATCTGGATAGTGAGTAAGACTTAAAATTGCCTCAAATTCATTTGTTTGTTTGTTTGTTTGTTTGTTTTGGCTAGAAGATGCGATGACCATCTCCCATAAAACATGGGCTAAGGGATAAAGTATGCGATGTCTACAATGTCTTCATGAAAGTTGGAGCAAAAGAGAACAATTCCCGACAGTGACAATTTGCAGTTTGTTACCTGATGAGTAAAGCCCAGCTTTTATTGTAAAAATGCTTTTGCTTTCTTTAGTCAGAAGTGTTTGTTCTTCATTCCCCTTGTGACAGAGGAGATGCGTCTCTGTCAGGTCCCCTGTTACAGACAGCAGTGGGCTCCCCAGAGAAACCAGTGGGCTTCAGAAATCGAGGGGCGGTCAGTGCTGGTCCCTGCGGGTCCACGAGGAGTTCACACACAGCCTGGCTCAGTGGTTCTCAACCAGGAGCTGGTTTGCCCTCCAGGAGACATGTGGCAACATCTGGAGACATTTTGGTTGTCCCTACAGTGAGGGTGGGGACAGAGCTCCTGGCACCTGTTGGTAGCGGCCAGGGATGCATCCGGACACCCTACGACACACAGGACAGCCCCCACAACCAATTATCCAGCTCAAGACATTGATAGTGCCAATGTTGGGAACCCCGGGCCTTGCTGGAAAGATTAGAGATAACGGTTGCAGCTCAACTTCATCAACATTGTGTTTCCAGGACAGGTCCCGCCCCCGCCCGCGCTAACCGCTAACCGAATGCTGAGCATTCCTGTGAATACTTTTTTTTTTTATTTTTTTTAAAGTTTATTTTATTTTTGAGACAGAGAGAGACAGAGCATGAACGGGGGAGGGGCAGAGAGAGAGGGAGACACAGAATGGGTCAGCCCAGAGCCTGACGCGGGGCTCGAACTCACGGACCGTGAGATCGTGACCTGAGCTGAAGTCGGACGCTAAACCGACTGAGCCACCCAGGCGCCCCCCTGTGAATACTTTTATAAACCAAAAATGGCATAAAGCAAAGAAACAATTACCGTTAATGTATACGGGAAATGTTTTGAGCGTTCCCAGACCCCCAAAATCACCTCTCTTAGGCCTTCCTGATACCATGGGACACATCTTGCTAACGGATGCATACGACTGATGGAGTTGCAGCCCAGATGCTCACAGACAGGGCTCGGAGCTCTGGTGCTTGCGCCTGAGATGCCGGGTGTGGTTCCCGCGGAAGGCGCTGGGGGGCGCCACTCTTGCTGTCTCTGATTGGGCTCATCTCGCTGCAAAACCAGCGATGAGCGATGTTTTCATCAAAGCAAAAATCCTTTACCTTAGTGAAAACTGGTACTAACGCAGGTCTTTCGTAAAGGCGAAACATGCATAATCTGAACTTCCGGAGAGCCGGGGACACCTGCGCGTTTACATGCCGAGTCCGCAGGTGTGGGAACTGCGGGTGTGGGAACTTTGAAAAGCGTGAAGAAAATCTCGGCAAGAATCAGCACCTGGGGGGGGTGGAGAACGAAAAAAAGGGGCCTTCGGGGCAGGCGAGACCACAGATGGATGACTTTCTAGGAAAGGAAATCCCACAAGGGGAGGAGAATGCAGGTAAGGGGTGGGGGGCAGAAATTCGTGGATCCTACCCTCATAGCCCCTTCTGCTTCTTGGGATTTAGATGTTCAATCATTGCTAGGAGGCGGAATTCACGAACAGCTGAGACCTAAAGTGATCCCTGCGCTTGATGACATCAAAGCCATGGCAGAAGGTAAGCACCGTGACGGAAATGGGCAAGAGACTATTCCCCCTGGAGGTCTCCGGCTTCCCAGGATCCTGCTCCCCTTTTCTCGTTTTTCCTGGATGCGGACATGCCCACAGGCCACGTCCAGACACACCCCGTGGCAATGGTGTGGCTTGTTGGTTTGTTTGCTTAAGAAGCTTGTGCCTGAGAAGTTGTACTCATTATCTCAAAGTCCTTTGAAATAAAAACAGCAGAATCCGATAGGAGCCTGCCACGTCTTTTCGTAAATACAGTTCCAGAAAGGCAGCCCCGCTCCTCTGGTGAGGTGGCATCTAAGGTGGCTTTCACACTGTGGCTGACAGCAGAGTTGAACATTGGCAGGACCCCGTGGACCACAAAGCCTAACTAATTTATTCTCTGCCCCTTTACAGAAAAAGGTTGTGGGCTCTTGCTACAGAAGATGAGCAGCCTAGAGAATTTTAGGTCTGGGGTGGGGGTGGGGTCTATTGGTTACTCTTTCCTTTTCCCTGGAAAAAACCACCTTTGGGAAAGAAGAATCTGCACACGTTTTAAGACACCACAGACAGTGATATAAGTGAGCAGATGTGCTGATTTGAAGAAACTACGTATTCAATTGCAGTGAGTCAAAGCTCTCCTAGATGCTTCCAAATGTTGAGGAGATGTCTGTGCTTAGTATTTCATAGAGAGGACAATGTCACCTACTTGCCACATTCGTCATTCAGCCACCATGAATGTGGCTGTCATGAGCCAGTATTCCTGAGAAGACAGGCCACAAAGGAAGGAACAGTGTAGAAGTGAGAAAATTATGCCCGCTCGTTTTGGCGTTCCTCCCTGACACCCCCCACTTAAGAGTTCAAAGACTCAGGTGATGTATGGAAACAGGGTGATGTGCAGAACAGGCCAGGAGTTGGTAAGATTACTTTTAACCAACTGATCAGTCTTTCCTTGCTCTCTCCTTGGCCCTGCAAAAGGTCTACCTGCAACTGAAGGTCTGACCTCTGCTGTTGATGCCTTAGATGCTCCCCCCCGCCCCGCCCAACACCTGTTCTCCGCATCACCAACCATGTCCTACCAATGCAAGGAAACTGAGGCCCAGAGAAGGGATGTGACTGCAAGCATCCATGCCTCCTGCCTTTCTTTCTTAAAGTTTTACATGTAGCCCCTTCCTTCCTCCCTCCCTCCTTCCCTCCCTTCCTGCCTTCCTTCCAAACCTGGCCCCTGCCTATCATTCCAATCATTTTTTGTCTCGACCCTCCAGCCCCCAAACCTTCCATTCCAAGCCATGAACCTCAGTGTTATTCTTCTGTGGGTCTCCAAAGGCATCATTCCCTCCCAGACCCTTTTACTGCGTGTGCTTTCTCTGTGTGAAGTGCCACAGGACCTTCCCAACATCTTCTTACCACATACCAAACCACAGCTAAGTGTTCTGTTCTCTGCACGCTTCACCTCATGTCTCCTTTTCCCGTCCCAGAGCATGACAGCCTCCTAATTTCTGCTCCTTACCTTGTGACCCTAAACGTACAGCTCATTTGTGGTATTTACAGCACCGCCCCCTACCCGCCCACCGCCACCTTTGATAGGCAACGAGCTCCTTAAGGGCAAGACGTGTTGATATCGCTCATGTCTCTATTCCCCTAACTTGTGTCTGGGGACAGCCCAGCAGAGTGTCTGGCCTGGAGTAGGTTCTCATTTCTGGAACGTATAAAGAAAGGCCTGAAGCCCTTACCTTCATTTTCCAAGTTTGGAATCCTGTAATTTCACTGGTTATAGAGTAGAAAATGGATTATATTCTTTCGTAGTCCTGCCTCAGTTGCGAGGCAACTCCTTTTGACTTCATGAGCTTCCTGATCTTTTACTTTTAATGTCTGTAATCATTTGATTTTTTTTAGTTGCTTTATGCAACTATGTGCCTTATGGATATATCTATCTATTCAAATCAGGGTACAGTTGTTTTCATTTGCTTTGGGAACTTTGCAGACAGTTCTTACACTTAGAGATCTTTGGGAGGTGCCATTGATGTGCTATCAATGCCAAAGATCGTTGAAGTGGCTTCAACAACAGGAAGCCTATCACACAGGACAAGATATTGCAGGTATGGCAGTTCCAAAGTTGGTGGATTCGGGGGTTCAGCACTGTCAAGGAGCCTTCACGCTCTTGCCCCGTCCTGTGGTTAGTAGGAGATATTACATCACCACCAGGATCAGACTACGGAAGGAGGTAAGGGTCTGTTGGCTCCTCATTCCCTCACTGGGAGAACCATCACTCCTGGAAAATGCCAACCTTCCACTGCCCACATCTCTGGCATTGCTCTTGCTGATGATCCGCCACGTCCCCTCATCATAGCCTTGTGTGTCTTCACCAATGGATTGAAGATGATGTGGGCTGGCTCTGTGACGTTGACAATCAGATGTCTCCAGTCATCTCTCTTGTCTTATTTTAATATCTCTTGAGTAACTATGTGCCATTTCCCTGACACATATAGAACATCGGTCTCTATCTGGCTTCGAAGTAAGTGGATTATTTGCTCATGTAACTGATATCTGGCTTCAGGTAAGGCTTGATCTAGTGGTGAGATTCTCTCCACCCAGCTGTTCTCTATAATGCCTATATCATTCTAATGCAAACTCCCCCTGTAGTTGCAAGAGGGCTGACACCAGCCTCATCACTACTCCTCCTCAACCAGATTTCCCTCCAGTTGGGCCATCTGGGTTTCTACGGCCATCTGTGGACCAGTGCTACACAGGGGAAGTGGTTTGGCTAGAGGTAGTCAGGCCCCACTCCTTAAGCTAGAGGTGGGACCCATGTTATTGAAACACAAGTCTGCTGCAGCGCAGGAGACAGGTGACATGGTTTCCGAGATGCCAACCACCAAAGTCCACAGCAAGTTTTTGTAGAAATGATTGGCTATAAAGTAGTATTTAGAAAGCTTTTGAGTGTTAAGGGTCTGCCACATAGCAGATACTTTTCTTAAACCCTCTTAGTGCTCCCAAGAGCTCTGTGCAATGGGTAGAGTCACCTCCATTGTACCAACTCAAGACAGTAAGGCTCAGAGATGATGTAACTTGTCCAAGACCAGGTACCTGGGAAATGGTGGACTGGGATTCAGATGTGGGTCTGCCTATAAAGCCTGTGTTGCCTGGTCTGCACTAGATGGTATTTGGATACAATTTGAGAGTGTTAAGATGTAGGGTGTTTCTGTGCCGTCCGTGGGAAGACAGCACAGAGTAACTTTGGGAGAGGAGTTAGGAATCTGGAGTTCGAGTGTGCTGTGGCCACAGGATGATGCCAGGCATTTGGAAAATTGGTCTTCCAAGATCTCCTCCAGCTCCAAAATTATGTGATGGTAAATTCTGTGCAAAAATATACGAATGATGTAATGTGCTTGGCATGTACCTTTACTTGTGGCCCATCATTTGCCCAATCTTCAATGTTTGAATTAGAATTCTCTTTGGGTTAAAGGCAATTAAAGCGGATTTTATTTTTCTCTTCTGTGCTTCCTGCAATAGGGTTAAAGTTTTATTTGTCTTTAAGACAACCTGAGTAAATTACAGTTCAGCTTCTGGTGTTGCCAGAGCTTTTAAAAGTATGCTTAATAAACTGCTTTGACAATATATTTTTGTCCTTGAGGGGTCACTCTCCTGGAGGTAATGCAGGACCAGGTCAATGTATGGAGTAGACAGAAGAAACCCTTCTTCAATCTCCCTGCTCTAAAAATCCATTTAATCTATTACCCTCGGACAGAGGACACATCTGATACGAAGCTGCTAAGAACAGATACTACGCTGGATCTTAGCCAAAAGGCTGAGAAGCGATGCTTTGACAATTTTTTTTGCTTAAAATTCTTTGCAGCTTTCCGTGTTTAGTGGCTTTGCAGAGAGCAGAAACATGCATATTGATTTGTGTAAATCTTATTTGAGCTTCAGATCAGGACCTACAAAGGAAATGTGCTATGAGCTGGTAAAATGCTAATTAACCAAGATTGAGAATCTGAAATATCTTTCCAGTGACTTCAGATGCATAATATACGTGGTCTTGCTAGGTCTGGAATGACTCCCAGATCCAGTAGATACTTTATAGACATAAAATGCTTCGAAGCCTTTGGGGAAAAATGTATATTTATTACCTCTGAGTCTTTCTCGGGTCTGATAGAATAGTGCCCATAACCCAGAATGTCTATAGACCTCATTTCAATGGACACACGTATTCTGGACCATCAATTTATTTTACTATCCATCATTTTAGGTTATTGTTTATTTCTTGCCTTAAAAATTTACCTTACCTCTAAATGGAAAGGACTATGAGGGGTAAACCACATTAAAATGTGAGGTATGTGTTGTGTGATGTGCAGTGTGTTTTGCCATACTCTTTTGCACGGCCATGAATACAGAGCTCCACAGCTCAGAAAAACCAGGATAGCAAACAGTTATCAAGGATTTCCTAACGCAAGCACGTGTCCTAGGCTGTGAGGCTGCCCACATAGAACCGATGGACTCCCTGCCATGGAGGACCTCCTTCCGATCGATCCGACCCCCACCTTTCATGATGACTGTGGTGGTGGTTCCACCATTTTCAGATGAGGAGATTGCTAAAGAACATTCAGGATTCAGTTTCCGGTGACCAGAAAATAGCAAAGCTGAGATCTGCACCTACACCCGCCTGAATCCAAAACCACGTTCTTGAACTGTTGCTCTGTGTTTGATTCCAGCTATTTGAATATTCCTAGCAAAGCTAGGTCCGGGCGTGATCAGTGTTTATGTGCGTTAAAACTGCTCGGGGCTGAAGATGCCAGCTTGTTGGGGCTACAGCCCCTTTTCCTGCCGTTACTGCTCCTGTGCAGGCCACTTAATGCTACACCTACATGCCCTGTTGTGTCCCTGAGTTGGTTCTTGCTCTGTCTTTTGGTCTGAAAAGTGTGCAGGCGGGAAAGCTGAGCTGGTTGGAGTTGCTGGCTGAGGAAGCCAAGCATGTCCCTATATTCCCCTCTTAGGCTCCTCTGGTTGCCTTCCAGTGTCATCTAGAAGTTCGCCTCAAGTTCCTTTAGGGTACTTGGTAGATGAGAAGGAATTTTGCCATTGGCAGCCTAGTGGGTGCCTCTGTTCTAAAGCAAGGTGTGTTCCTACAGCAATCAAAGAGACCAAAGAAGCCCTATTGAATGTGAACAATACCTTAAAGGAGCTGAAAAAGTCAAGCGCACAACTGAACACCAGCCTCAGTGACGTTAAAAGGGACCTGGAACAATCACTCAATGACCCCATGTGCTCTGCACCTCCAGTGGCTACCACTTGCAACAACATCAGAACGTCTCTAAGCCAGCTGGATGACAATACCAACATGGATCAGGTGAGGAGGTGACTCTGCTACGGAGCAGTGTCATTGGAACAACTGTGCAGGACTCAGTGTGGGTACACCTGTCCAGTGGACAGTGGCCTGGGTGTCTGTCAGCCTGTCCTGGTTATCTGATTGCCACATGGGCATGGCTGCAGCAGGAGAGAAAGGATAATGGGAAACCCCTTTTAAGTGTTCTCTGCAATTGATTTGATGGAAGCTACCAGAATGAATTCAGCTTTAAAAGGAAAAAAGAGGGGCACCTGGGTAGTTCAGTCAGTTAGGCATCCGACTCCGACTCAGGTCATGATCTCGCAGCTTGTGGGTTCATGCCCCACATCAGGCTCTGTGCTTGCAGCTCAGAGCCTAGAGCCTGCTTTGGATTCTGTGTCTCCCTCTCTCTCTGCCCCTCTCCTGCTCCCGCTCTGTCTCTCTCTCTCTCTCTCTTTCTCTCTCAAAAATAAATAAGCATTAAAAGAAAGAAAGAAAGAAAGAAAGAAAGAAAGAAAGAAAGAAAGAAAAGAAGCATGTGTTTTTGTAGACTTCTAAAAATTAAAATATATTTTCAAAGGGCGTGCCTCCCACATTAACCATTTATATCTAAATAGAAGTAATTCTCCTATTCCAAAGAGAAAATTAGGGGGAAAAAAAGAATTTGGAGTATCTTGAAAATATAAAGTCCCAAGATACAGAATAAATAATCACATCTACTCATGATTTTTAATTTATCGAGATAGCGGTATATACATGCCACATTTTTTCTAAAATAATATTTTAATATATAAAATCTACTCTTCTCACCTTCCTGTTTCATGGGCCAATACTACGCAGACTCTTCATCTTCAGCCTCTGTGTCTACATATCTACCACCATCACTGTGGTCACCATTGAATAGCTTTTCAGAGACTGGGATTTTCACTTGCATTGAAATTGTTTGAACTCAAGTCTTTTGGGGAGGGAGGTAACTTTTTATTCTGTTGTCTTTTTAAACATGCAGAAAATTTGCAAGGATGGAGGCAAATTTTGCTTCATTTGCTTCCTTATATTTTCTTTGTTTCTCCATTTGTGTATCTACCGTCTACTCATTATCATGTATACATATAAAGTATGATGCATGTTGTGTTTTTCTCAATCATCTGGCGATAAGTTGTGGACAATATGTCCTTTTACCCCTAACTATTTCCGTGCATTTCCTAAACGTACACAACCTTTTGGACAGTTATCAAAATTAGGACATGTAATGCTGACCCAAGACTCCTGACTAGTCCATGGTTTATATTCAAATTTTGTGGATGTTTTTAAAAAACTGACAGCTGTGTTTCTTTCTCCAGTCTAGACACCGGTCCAGAGTCACACCTGGTCTTTACTTGTCATGTCTGTTTAGGCCCTTCAATCTTGGACAGTCCCTAGCTTATCTTCTTCTTTTTTAACATTGACATTTTTGAAGACCACAGGCCATTTGTTTTATGGAAGGACCCATGATTTAAGTTTATCTGGTGTTCCCCCGTAATTAGATTTGAGTTATGCATGTTTCCCGGGGGTATCACAAGAGTGATATCGTGTCCTTCTTGGTACATCGTGTCAGAAGGTCCATGATGTTTGTCTCAGTGTTGGCAAGAGACAGAACACTTTAAACCCAGGTATGATGCTATAATGGAAACTTCATTCCAGACCACTCACCAGTATAACTATTGCCCGTATTATTTACAACTTTGTTCAACAGTATTCAGTACCTGAAATTGTGAGGTCATCCATATTCGCTCTGTGTTAGACTTCCTTCCTGCATTTTGAGCTAACTGCAACAGAAACCCACCAAACATCTAAAACTTGATGCTTGTAGAGGCCACCCTGAGCTAAATGTATTCTCCCCCCCCCCCCAATAAATATTCTATTGTTCAAAAGCAAGTTAAATATAGAGATTTGGGGACTTAAGAGACTTGAGTCTCTTAAGAGACTATAGAGACTTTGGATATAAGATGATTCCTTTTTATGACAAATAATGTTGGGAGTAACCACTTTGCCTTATGTTTTGTTTTACAAATTTCAGCTCCCATCTTTGGATAAGCCAATTGATAAGATTAATGATATTCTTCAAACAAATTTGTCCAGCCTGGTTCAACAGGTACGTATTTTGGGGGAAAAAACATACAGTAGTTTATACTGTAGTTTATTTTACATCACTTTAAAAATTTTTTTTTTCCAATGTTTATTTATTTTTGGGACAGAGAGAGACAGAGCATGAACGGGGGAGGGGCAGAGAGAGAGGAAGACACAGAATCGGAAACAGGCTCCAGGCTCTGAGCCATCAGCCCAGAGCCTGACGCGGGGCTCGAACTCACGGACCGCGAGATCGTGACCTGGCTGAAGTCGGACGCTTAACCGACTGCGCCACCCAGGCGCCCCTATTTTACATCACTTTAAAGAGTAGACAAGTACATAAGAAAATACGTAACCGCAAAAAAGCAGTGAAAATTTGGAAAGGGGTTTGCCAAGAGGGACATAACTGTTATCTTCCAGATAATTTTGCTCCTTTCACTTCGAGAAATTGGGATTAAGCATCTGTTGTGTGCACAGCACCATGCTGGAGGTAGAAAGCAAAACGTGTTCTCGCCTTCCTGGGATTCAGAATTTGCTAGGGGTGGTGCTAAACCCCATACTGACTCTGAGGCAAGGTCCCTCCCACTGTGCCGGGAGTCACTCCCCTTGCTTTTGTCTCCTCCCCCTTCTGCACAGTTGCACATGCTGTGAGCTATGCCCACCATTCTCTCCTTTCTCCCTCTCCCTCTCCGAACTACTTATGCTGCTAAATACTAACTACTTAAAGCATTCAGTATCTCCTTCTTTCTTTTATTATGTTTTTAATGTTTATTTATTTTTGAGAAAGAGAGAGAGTGCGAGTGGGGGAGGGGTAGAGAAAGAGGGAGACACAGAATCCAAAGCAGGCTCCAGGCTCTGAACTGTCCGCACAGAGCCCAACCCGGGGCTCCAATTCCTGAACCATGAGATCGTGACCTGAGTCCAAGTCGGACGGACACTTAACCAACTGAGCCACCCAGGCACCCCTCGGTATCACTTTCTTAATGAGACCTTTCTTGCGCATCTTGACCAAGTCAAACCCTTTTTAATACGTTCCTACGGTACAGCGGATATTCTCTGTTAACATCCTCCTGACTGTGATTATTGCTTTAATGTTTCTGTTGTCCCACTGGAGTGTAAACCCTGAAAATGGCAGGGACCACGTTGGTCTAGGGCATCATCATTTCCCTGGTAGCCTATCAATTATTGCTATTTATTCAACCTATATATTGAGCGCACAATAGATTGTAGATTATGATTCAACAAGAATGCTGGGGCCTGCAGGAAAGGGAGAGAACAGTTTTATTCTTGCCTCTATGTCTTTTAGCAGGGGGTATAAAAAGATCATCAGGTATCTGTTAAATACTCATCTACTGACAAAGTTAAGTGTCCCCTTAAACAAGTCATTAGAAACTCTTGGTCATTTGTCCTGGTGTCCCCTCATTTGTTAAATGAGGGAATTGAACCAGGAGATCTGTAAGGCCCTCTCTGGCCGTAAAACCTCTTACAGTGGGGGGCCTCCACAAGTCCAACTGCAGATAAATGTAGGAGGTCAGGTGGACAGTAATCCAAACAGGCTGCGAACTTAGTCACCGTCGAGGAAACAGAAGTGGTAGATGTTCTTCTTACGGCATTCGTGTTTCTAGACTAAACTGGAAACTTGCTGGCACCATAAATCTTATAAAGTCTGTCACTTACGCTGGACTGCTGTAAGAGAATATCATAGGCTGGTTGGCTTCTAAACAAGAGAAATTTATTTCTCACAGTTCTGGCAGCTAGATGTCCAAGATCAGGGGGCCGGCCTGATCGAGTTCTGGTGAGAGACCCTTCCAGGTTGCAGATGGCTGTTTTCTCATTGCATCTTCATGTGGTGAAGACAGCTGTCTGAGGTCCCTTTTATAAAGGCACTAATCCCATCCACGGGGCTTCATCCTCATGATTGAATCACCTCCCCAAAGCCCCACCCCCTAATACCATTACTTACGTGGGGGGGGGGGGTTAGGATTTCAACATACGGTGCTGACTGTCGGGGGAGGTGGACACAGACATTCAGTCCATGATAAGTTGTAATCGATATCGTATTCCTTAGCAGTTGGCTAAATACACCAGCAGACAGTAAAGAAACACAAATTAAACCTCTTCCAGAGGAAAAGCTGTATATTTAGTTGAGCTGCTTGGAGGGAAGTAATGACCTCTTCCTGTCACAGATTTAGCCCCAAAATGACAGAGCTTGACATTGCTGTTTTTGTTTTCACTGGAGCCTCACTATAATTTATATTCTCTATAAGCTGTGTTTTGGGGCATTATTGTTTTCTGTAAGACGAGATCTCTAGTTTTGCTTCATAATTGCATTGGAAATTACGATTCCAGTTCTGGAAATTCACGTTATATCTGCACATGGTACACTGTACAGATCAGGGGTTTCTTAACCTCAGCACTATTAACACTTGGGGCTGGATAATTCTCTGTTACGGGGCTGTCCTGTGCGTCGTAGGGGACCCTGCTCACACAGTGCCACAGCTGTGATAACCAGAATGTCTCCAGACATTGCCATATGTCCCCTGGAGGACAAAATTTCCCCCCATTGAGAAATGCTGATATAGATAAGTTAAAAGCTTAAAAGTAAAAAACTTTTGGGGCACCTGGCTGGCTCAGTCGGCTGGGCGTCCGACTTTAGCTCAGGTCATGATCTCACATGTGAGTTCGAGCCCCACATCGGTCTCTATGCTGACAGCTCAGAGCCTGGAGCCTGCTTCAGATTCTGTGTCTCCCTCTCTCTCTGCCCCTCCCCTGCCCATGCTCTGTCTCTGTCTTTCTCTCTCAAAAATGAATAAACATTAAAAAAATTTTTTTTAATGTTTTTTAATGTTTTTATTTATTTTTGAGATAGAGAGAGACAGAGCATGAGCAGGGGAGGGGCAGAGAGAGAGAGGGAGACACAGAATCCGAAGCAGGCCCCAGGCTCTGAGCTGTTAGCACAGAGCCCCACACGGGGCTTGAACTCACGGACTGTGAGATCATGACCTGAGCTGAAGTCGGACGCTCAACCGACTGAGCCACCCAGGCACCCCAAAAAAATTTTTTTTAAGTAACAAACTTTTCATGGGAACTTCAGTGGATACAATTTAAAGAAAATCTTCTTTAAAGGGGAACTTTTCTGTAGTCTTTTAATGACCATATAGTGATAATTTCCTCCTTAAGATGACTGTTTCATTTTTAGTTTGCTTCTCTACTCCAAACTAAGCTAGAAAATGGGTACTCGTTAACTGCCCTCCCATTCACTATGTCCATCAATCTACTTTGAATTATTTTCTAGGGCTATAAATCCTTTAATGATATTCCTGAGATGGTGAAAAATCAAACCACAGACATCATATCAGGTGAGTCAGAGTTTGAAGTCCTTTTTTTTTTCTCTCTGTTAAGAAATGGATGATCAGGGCAAAAAAATGTATTGTTAAGAACTGTATTATTTTTCTCTCTTAAAAAAGTCCTCTCACTGATCTTGAAAAGTAAATGAGAATCAGAGCTTTTTAATTGTGCCACTTTCACACCACAATTTTGATCTTAAGAAATAATAACCCTATTGAACGCTGATTAACATGGTCCTGCTGGCCAGAGGCTGCAAGGTTGAGGACCACACTGTAATGATGAGCCCTCATCGTGAACTGTCAGCGCTAAAGACAGCTATTGTTTGGAAAGTCACATTTTGACTGGTTTCACTAGGGAAAAACCGTAGAGTATTATATGCTCTAAAAGAACATAAAATCAATTTTTTTTCCAGAATTACTATGTTTAAGGATTGATTTTGTCTTTTTAGGAAGATGTACATCTGCCTTCTGATGCTGCTATAAATGTGTTTTAGGCTCGTAAGGTTGTTTACGATTTTGGAAAGACAACTGATATTGAGAGAATTCTGCTAGTCTTAAATGATTGAAGTATGTTGTATTCAGGTCATGGTATTTGGTGTGAAGGTACAGAGAAACAGTGCAGTATAAGTAGTTTTGGGGGCAGTGATAGCAATAAATGTGGGTTCTTTGCTTAAAGAAGAAATCTCTGAAGCTATGTAAGATCTTCTTCTTTTAAATCATCTTCTCTGTGCTTCTTTTTATCTGTTGACCAAGTGATTTTAAGATGTTGTGCTAGAAGCACTTGATTTTCCCCCCAATAGTGTTCTTTCAACCCATTAAGACTTTGGGTAAAAAGTATTTTATCCTATTACATATGCTTTAGATGTTTTGTGGGTTCCTTTTTGTTTAATCTAAGATTCTACTTGAAAATACTGATACTAAAGACAAAGTTCACGCTTTCCTGTGCTAGCGTCTGAAGGCTAACACATGCTGTACATCTAATAGCCACCTGCTTACTAATTTCTGTGTTTACTTTTTCTGTTCCCCCTTTCTGGACCTCTTCTGCCAATACATGCAGCCCTCCCTTGTAAGTCTGGCAAAGCGAGGTGTGCAGTATGTGTGAGCGAGGCCCATCACACATGGTGTCATTGCCTAAACACAAGCCAGAGTTTTCCCGGGTCTGGGAGAATATCACTCCATCAGCCTGAATATTAATTGCTTAGATCCATGCCCTTCCAAAACGAATAAAAACCCTTAGCTCCCACATTTTGATCATCCGGTCCCACCCTGCATACCTATTTTGAGTGCCTACTGTGTGCCAGGCTCTGCTGGGCTCTGGGAATGGGAGACGAATAAAGCTTGAGCCCCGCCTACCGCTCAGCAGGGCATGTATACAGATGCCAGTTATCACACTCTGGTAACATGACAGGATACGTGCAAGAGATCCAAGGTGGGAGAGGGTAGCAGAAGGCTTCCTGGAGGAAGCAACATCAAAACTGAGGTCCGAGGGAAGCATTCAGTGAGAGAGGACTCCAGCCGCATACAGAATCACCCAAGCTGGCAAAGCCAGGGAGCCATGTTGTGTGGGAGGGCAGGACAGCCTGAGAAGCAGAAGGAACCCCATTCTGAGTTTCGGGAAGTGTTCAGAGGAGGAATCTGCAGACCACATCCCTACAAACTCCCAGAAATCCCAGAGTTAAGTACGAGACCCACCGAGTCACCTTGTTGAGGATCTTGAGGCCTTTGGGTGCACAATCCATTTGGAGGAGAATTGAGCCACTGTGGATAACGGCCTCCTCCTAGTAGCTCTGTCTCAATGTATCTGTGTGAACAGCACACTTTGAAAAAGATTCCCACCCTTTTATGTAACTCCATCATGGGTCACGCTACCCGGTACCCAAAGTTCACCAGGAGCCCTGGGATCACACTGTGAGAACAGCTAACCTTGCCTTTGCTGCTGCAAAGAGGTTTATCTCCCTTCCAGGACCGGTGGATATTTAACTGATTAGCATGTTCTTAGTACATCCGTGTCGAAAATCACACGTTGAGATGACACCAGCTTCAGACCTGGGTGAGCATTAAATGAAGTGACACCCATGTCCTGAGTATCTTTGATCCCAGGACCTGTCACAAGGGACAAACACTTTTCAAAAATTGGAACTTACCTTCTCTCAGAAAGGTTAGAGTAGATATTAATAGAAACTCTTTGACCACTGGGAATAAATTGCTCTGTGCATATGAGATACACAGATGTACTTTAACAAGTCTCAATTTGTATGAGTCAAATAAAATTTTAAGAAAAATATCCCCTGGGGTCACTTGTTCAAAAAATTGGTCCTGGCGAATTACTGCATTCCTGAATGCTATTTCTTATTAAATTATTTTTTCTTTTTCCAAAATCACTGAACAGAAGTTTTGGAGTTAGACGAACCCAAGGTTAAATTTCATTTCTAGTGCTTTCTGGAAAAAAAAAAAAGACCTGTGGGCAAGTAATTTAACCTCTATGGGCCTCAGGGTCACTGTTGGTAAAATGGGAATAAGAAGATCTATTTCAGTGGAATAAATTAGTTAACATTTATATAAAAGTGAGTGGCCCATGGTAGGCACACCATAAGTTTTAATCATCAGATTCATTTTATTTTTTAGTGAAGTAAGTAACAGAAGAAAACTCTGGCTTGAATTCAGCACCATATCATTAAAGTCAGCGCTCATAGCTTGCTGTTTTGTTGAGTAATTGCTTTCTGATGGTCTTGGCTACATTCGTGCTTGTTGTAGAACCTTTTCATGCTTTAACGACATACATAACATGGGGAAAACTAAAAGTGGTTGAAGCTTTTCATTTTGGCTCCAAAACAAAGTGTCTGTTTCCCCTGGGTTTGAAAATGCATAACCTGGGTATCTTTGTTTTCAGATGTCAAAAGTACCTTGAATTCCATTGGTTCAGATATTGAAAGTATAGGCGAACAGATTCCTATTCAGGATCAGCTATCGAATTTCATGGGTTACATTAATGACACTGAAACTTACATCCACCGCAATTTACCCACGTTGGAAGAGTATGATTTGTACAGGTGAGTGCCCCCTTGAGCTAGGAAACTAGAGCGTGAGCCTTGCTCTAGAACAGGGTAGAAATCTGACGTGATCAGCAGGATCATCTTGTGGGAGAAAATTGTACAAAGAAGCCGTAACCGGATATGTGTTAATCCTAGTTTATGTTTATTTAAAAAGTTGGAGTGCTCACTCTGGCAGCACATATACTAAAATTGGAACTATACAGGGAAGATTAGCATCCCTGCACAAGGATGGCATGCAAAATCATGGAGTATTATGTATGTTTTTTTTAATTGGAGACTGTAAGTTCTTGAGCCAAGTGGTCAATACTTTGCAATTTTTATGTCATTAATGGCTTCTATAATCTTAGTTATAATTATCTAACACATGGAAAAGGATTTTAAAGCCTTAAAGTAATTAAGGAGGGCATTTGGATAATATTCTTCTTTTCATTGGCTTGTAAAATAAACACACAGAGGTTGGTTCTTACAGAAAAACATCCTTGAAATAAGGAACTTGCTGGAGACCTCAGGTAAGCAGCTCTAGACCCCAGCTGTTGACTGCCCCATTAGACAATGTTAGTGATGGGGTCTGGGCCCTGGAGATGACAGTGGACATCTCAGGGAACAATAGGTTTGCAGACTTGAGTTATTCGACAACCATGCAAGATATAAGATGTGCTGTCCTCTCTGAAACACTCAGCCCCACACCCTACCACTTTGGGAATCGTTCTTACTGTCCAAACTCATGGAGATTCCAGAGAGTTCCAGTCCTGCTTGGTTATTTATTATGCAAGAACTCAAGGTAAATAATAAAATAATAATAAATAATAAAATAATAACTGCTAGCATTTCAGGAACAGTTACAATGTGCCCTCCAAGTGCTATACGTGTGACTTCTCATTTAATACTAAAAAAAAAAAAAAAAAAAGAAGAAAGAAAAGAAAAGAGAAGAAAAAAACTCCAGGGTTGTGTTCTATTTGTAATCTTGTTTCATAGACAAGGAAATTGAGGCTCGGGGGAGTAGGATGACCTACAAAAGGCCAACAACAGTGTGGCAGAGGTGGGTTTTCAATCCCCATCTGACTATACTCTTAATTATTGCCCTGTAATTAGTAAGCCATTTTCCTACCGTGTGGCTGGGATACTCCAGCAGGTATCAGGGCAAACATAAGACAGACCCTTTCTCTGGGGCGCCCGGGTGGCTCAGTCAGTTAAGGGTCCAACTCTTGGTTTCAGCTCAGCTCATGATCTCATGGTTTCAGGAGTTCAAGCCCCACGTCAACTCTGTGCTGGCAGCACGGAGCCTACTTGGGATTCTCTCTCTCTCCCTCTCTCTCTGCCCCTCCCCCACTCATGATGTCTCTGATTCTCTCAAAAATAAATGAACTTAAAAAAAAAAAAAAGACAGACCGTTTCTCAATGAATTCACAATCTCTTAAGAGGTTAGAGTTTCACAAATGGAAAGAATGATACAACTGCTATCTACACATCCACTCCCATTGCCCTGAGACTAGAAGGTTACTTTTAAAGGAAATCTAAGCAGATGAAGCATGCATTCACTGTAAAAGATTTCTGAGGCCAGGTCCCATGGCTTTTTAATTTGGCATCTCCAGTATCTGGAATAAAATGCCACAGAAAGGGTGCAGGTGGCCATTACAATTAGTGAGATTGCTCTTAATTTAATGAAAAGCTCCAGAGGCAGCTTTTGTCGCAGAAGTAAACGCTTTATTTTTTAGTGTTTTAATGGTTGGGCAGCATTTCTACCCTTGAACGCTCCCCAGCTGCTGGAAAAGGTTGTTGTACCTTCCGGGAATGCCAGTAAGACCTAATTGAGGCTCCATTATCCTAAAATGTCTCGCAGGGCCATTACGAAATTGAGATTTGCGTTCTGCAGGCACTTGACTTAGGATGCTCATAAATTCTAAGATACGCAGCACGTTCCCCATGTAGGGTTTCTGGTTCGGCAAAGAACGCAAGGTCCCCTCCCAAATATTCCCACAACCACAGAGCATTTTAGAGGAAGACCCGGGAAAAGAGCTAGGTATTTCTGTATCTGTTGTCAGATCATAACCTGTCCACCTGTTGTCATCAACGTTGCAATAAGCGCTCGCAGCAGCAGGAAACTTGACAGAACTTCCAGGTCTTAAACGGGTATTGTTATCAGTAGCTTTGGAGAATGGAGCAAGGGCCCTGCTTAGGACCCCCGCAGAAATGAAGCAAGGGAAGGAAGCCATAGTCTCTCCTGACCAGTGAGTGAGCTAGATCTCTTCAAAACCAAGACAAAAATTAAGGTTTCCTGCTGGCTGGGGTGGAGGACTAGGGGTGGGAAGCGATCTTTTCACTACAACGTCACCCTCTGAGGAATCAGCAGGCCAATCAGATATTTGATTGCCAAGTATTACTCAATCGCTCCAGCCCCAGTCCGATAGCTTTTGCGTTATTGTGAGGCCACCTCTTTTATGTATGATAACACTGTGCTTGCTTCACCAGGTGGCTAGGTGGCCTGGTTGTCTGCTGTTTGCTGACACTCATCGTGATTTTTTATTACCTGGGCTTGCTGTGTGGCACGTGTGGCTATGACCGGAATGCCACCCCGACCAGACGAGGCTGCGTCTCAAACACCGGAGGCATCTTCCTCATGGTGTGAGTGTTTGCTCTTCCTTGCCACATGGGGGGTGGAAATGAGAGGAGAAGAGCAGACTGATGACACGAATCTGGTGGCCTCTGGGCTGCACACTATGGATTATTATCCATCCATCCATCCATCCATTTATTCACCAGAAACTTGCTGAGGATTGGCCTGGTATCAGACACTGTTCTCTGTGGTCACCAGTTTCTTCAGCTTGTTTGCTTTGAAACTCTGGAAACTTGACTTAGAAAAGAGATTGTCAAGGCACCTGGGTGGCGTAGTCAGTTAAGCGTCCAACTGTTGTTTCCCGCCCAAGTCATGAACTCACAGTTCATGAGTTCAAGCCCCGCATGCATGCAGAGCCTGCTTGGGATTTTTCTTTCTCTCTGTCCATCCCCCACTCGCACTGTCTCTTAATTTTTCTCAAAATAAATACATAAACTTTAAGGGGCGCCTGTTGGTGGCTCTGTTGGTTGAGGATAGCACAACAAGCCAAGAAAGGCACATAAATCAAGGCACAAGAGTTTTACAAATAACTTTAAAACTAACAACACGGGAACCTGCCAGATTTAGACTTCAGCTCAGGTCATGATCTCATGGTTCATGAGTTTGAGCCCTACATTAGGCTCTGTGCTGACAGCTCAGAGCCTGGAGCCTGCTTTGGATTCTGTGTCTCCCTCTCTCTCTGTTCTCCCCCCTTCCCCCACTCACACTCTTTCTCTCGGTCTCTCAAAAATAAAGAGTAAAAAAAATTTTTTTAAAGAATTGACCCTTCAACAAAAAACAAATAAATAAACTTAAAAAAAAAAAAAAAAACAAATAAACGTAAAAAATCTTTACTAGGGTGTGACGAGCGCAGAGGGCACCAACTGGGTGTGACCGCACTTGGAGCCAGAAACATAAACCCAGAGGCAGAGGTTAAAGCTTTGAATGCTCCCCAGAGAGGAAGCTGTGTGGGTTCCAAACTGATATTTCCTTTTCCAATAAGTACATCAAGAATCGGCAGCAGGGAGTGTGATGGGTTTGGAGAGCAAGGTAAAGATTTGGAACAAGTCCTTGGAGCCATGGAGAATCAACACCTCAGCCATGGCTGTCATTGCTTATGTCACTAGTACCAGGCTGGGAGAAGCTGCAAGCCACTGTCATGCACTAACGTGCCTTTTCAAACATTGGGTCACCACAATAATGAATCGGACTTATGAGCTCTGATTGTAAAGCTTTGCCCTGAAACCTTTCAGCTCCAGGATAGCACAACAAGCCAAGAAAGGCACATAAATCAAGGCACAAGAGTTTTACAAATAACTTTAAAACTAACAACACAGGAGTCTGCCAGATTTAGACAAAGTTGAACAGAACTCCGTGCACGGAAAAGCCTATTTGCTCACATGGCTACGCTTAAGAAATTCATGCAGCAAGGAAGAGTATATTGCCCCTCCTTTTGGTTTAAATGTATGCAGCTACAGATAGAAAATGAGTTAAATGTTCAGGATTTACTAATCCTGGGACTTGGCTGTTTTGTCAGTGTTTTGATGGTGGTTCTATAGATCACATCTTTTTAACTGCTTGATGGGAGGGCTTAAATTGTTCTGAAAATGTGCACTTTTCATAACATTCTATTTGAACATTTTTAAGGGACAAAACCAAAATATGTGCTGTCCAGTTTCAAAGAAAATGGAAACAGGGGAGTCATGAGCAATTTGATGGAGGCTAAAATTACTTCAGTTTGGATATAATTTTCACCTCTGCAGAGGAAGGAATCCCTGAAGAGACAAAGTCACATGCAAGCATGTGGCTTGGGAACAAGGGGATTTATCACCCGATAGGAAACAAACTGGTGGCTGTGGGGTCTGTATTGTTGCCACCCATGGCTCAACATGGAAATCTTGCTTGGCAGGAGCTTCCATCTCTTGAGACATCTGGTAAACAACTCGAGAGTTGTAAAGGGGAAAGCATGATACAACTCATTAGAAGACTGTAATTTCTTAAAAATCATTTATTTACTTGTAGAAACAAGAAAGTATATTTTGTTCAGCTGCAACCACAACACCACCTGCTCTTAAAAACAGTAACACCATCCATTGACGTTGACGTTGAAGAGTGTGGTCTCTTCAGAAACCAAGCAAGAATCCTTATCTCCCAGGGGGATCCTACCAGAAGGTCTAGGGGGAGGAAAGACAGAGAGCCCTGGCTCTGCTCTGATCCTGTGTCTTCTGAGGGTCCAGGGAGCATTTTGGGGGCCAAAGAGGATACAGTGAGGAATGTACATCTGTCTCAGGGGCACATAGAAGGTTTCCCTGGAGGTAAGGACACCTAAACAAGGCAGCAAGAAAACAGTCTTGTACTGAAGCCCACTCTGAAACTTCTAGTTTTAGTTCTTGAAAACTATGCTCCAATTACCCAGAGCTTTGAAGAAAGACTAATACCCAGTATAGCCATGGGGTCACAAAATGGGTGCCCTTACATGACCAGTGGCCGTTCAGTGGTTACAAATATTTCAGAAAGCATTTTGTCATGCTGTAGCAGGGGCCATAAAGAGACAGTAATCTCCTTGGCCAAGTCATTCCATTTTAGGGGATCAGTTTTAAGGAAGTAGGACCCAACTATGGGCAAAGTATCACAAGCAGAGAAATGTTTTTGCAGCTTTAGTTATAATAGTGAGGCATTGGAAATGACACAAACATCAGCCACCAAAGAGTGGGACATTCCTGCGGCCAGTGAAATGTAACTAGGTTGGCTACCCTGGATTGTTGACCAAAGTCCCTAAGATGTTCAACAAGGGCTCACAAGACTATCGCCTATGGTCCTCACAGCTGTGTAGATCCGGCGGGAGTCAGCACACGTTTCTGTAAAGGTCCAGATAATAGATACGTTCACTTTGGCCGGCCACATAAGGTCTTTGTCACACGTTATTTTTCTTGTTCTTATTTTACTTCTTCTCCTTTTCCTTCTTTGCAACACTTTCAACACACATTGGCCATTCTTATCTGAGTGACCTTACAAAAACAGGCCTCTGGCAGTGCTGCGTTCCTTATCTAGATATAGGCATATTTAAGAAATAAAGGCTGGACATAAGCTCTTTAAGATTAGCAGTGTTGTTTTGAAATGCTCTATCCAAGGTTTCCAATTTTTTTTTTTAACTCTAATATACACACATGCTCATGCACACGGTTCAAACCATGGTGACTAGCATATGCTTCCCACGTGTTCCCTTTCTTCACGCTCAAAAGCCTTTTAGGTCAGAGAAGTTCAGGCAGACAGAGGCCCCTCCAGTGGGCACATCTTGTTATTTATTTCAGCCAAACCAGGCAAATATTCGAAATTGTTCCTTAATGGTGTCCACTGGGCAGAATCATGCCCTTAGAAAGGGATGCCATTGTTACTAAGTACATCAGCCTAGTAGACACTTCTGAGGGTCCTTCCTGTTTGCACCAGTGACGGTGCAATCATCAGTGATGATCTGGCTACTCCACCTAGACTGATTCAAGAGTTTGCTCTGTCTGTGTCTACACCAGAGTAACTGAGCACTCTAGAGAGAAGTCATGCAGTGGGCACATTGGTATCCCTACAAAATTATGATCCCCACCTCAAATGGATCCTTCACAGCCCTATAAGTTTCTTCCTTCTCTCCCTTCCTTCCTTCCTTCCTTCCTTCCCTCCTTCCTTCCTTCCTTCCCTCCTTCCTCTGCTCAGCAATGGCTTTTTCCACACTGATACATCCATCCTCCTTATTCCTCCCTCGCTTAGCAGCTGACTCTACCTCCTTCTTCACAAAGGAAATAAAAGCCATCATACAACTTCCCATCACCAAAACTCCAGTACACCTGCATTCACACGTGTGCAGGGTCAAGTGCAGAGCAATCCCTCTCTTCTGGGCCCATCCCACCTTCCTTTCCCAATCTCAATCCCTGCGCACAGCCCAAGGGTGTCATGGATGAGCCCTTCCCTCTCCTGTGTCCTCAATCTCTTCTCCTCTCCAAGACTTGCTTCTCAACACTTAACTGTGTTCTCTTCTCTCCTCTCTTTCACCATGAAAACCAAAAACCTCTCCCAACACCACTCCTTCCCTTCACAGACATCAAAAGTAATGATGCTTGCTGCCTGTTTACTCACGTCTGCGTCCTGGGCAAGGCCACGCCCCTTCCCTCAGGTCAGCAGCAGCCTCTTTGCCTCCAGCCATTGGACTGGCTTCAGATCCCCTGGAGTGTGCCCTGTCTGCAGTGTTTGGGACGGCTTCCCGTCCCCTCTTCCTGCAGACACGCCTTTATTTCCCCATCAGCAGCGCTACTGGTTTCCTTCCTACTTTATGAGTCTTCCTAGCGGTCTCATCCTCTGGCTGCCCTTCTGCCACCTGCTCCTCAAATGGCGAAGTCCCCAGGCCCGGCCCCGGGCTGCTTCTCTCTCCGGTCTCAGCTCCGGGGACCAGTGGTCACTTCTGAGCAGCCGATTGCCTCGTGCAGGCCCGCAGCCCAGCTACGTGTGCTCCAGACGCAGCTGACTGCCCGCAGCGTCTCCACCGCCACGTCTCCCGGCAGCAGGACCAGATCCCGCCTTCTCTTCCCTTCCTCAGCACCCAGTGTCTCCTTTCCCTGCTGACAAGCCCTGGCTTCACCCCGGGCCCCTCCTTGCCTCCTCCTCCCGTGCAGCATCCTCAGCACATCCCGTGTCTTTTCCGTCGGCTGACTTCTCACCACTGCCTCCGGCCACGTCGGGCCACCACCCCCAGGATGACAGCCTCATCAGCCGTAGCCCCGTCCACGTGGGCATCTTTCCATCTCATCCTCGGGCTCTGCCTAGAGTGTTCTTCCTCAGAGAGAAACTGGGCTGTGTTCCTCCTGTGCGTCAAGGCCCTCAGCAGCCTCCCCTTACTGGACCAGCCAGACCCCCTCTCGTGCACCCCGGCCTGCCTCTTGAGCTGTAGCCATGCCGCTCACGGCCCTCCTTCCCCGAACCAGGCTGGCCCTCTTCGGACTCCCAGTGGTACCTCTCCTGCCTCAGAACCTCCCCACTCACTGTGTGCCCTGCGGAAGGCTAGGTTCACTCAAGCGACCCCGGAGGCTATGTCTGCACCAAAGTACTGGGCTGCAGGGAGACCAGAGACCTAAGTCGAAGGACTCCCTCACTATATGCCTGGGACCGAAGAGTCAACAGTGCTTACTGCTGTCTGTCTCCACTCCTGAGCCAATCGGCTCACTTAACCTGTACAAAGCGAAGACTCTAGGTCCATTTCCTACGTTGCATACATAGAATTAGTAAGTACTGGTAGGTAATATGGGAAGGGTAGTTTTTTTTTTTTTGTTTTTTTTTTTTAAGTAATCTCTACACCCAACGTGGGGCTCGAACTCACGATCCTGAGATCAAGAGTCACATGCAGTATCGACTAAGCGCCAGACACCCCCAAATATTGAATAATCTACCGTAGAACTCTTAATTTTGTGTCTGTTTTTCCTTTTTTTCCAGTGGGGCTGGAGTCAGCTTCCTGATTTGTTGGATATTGATGACCATCGTGGTTCTCACTTTTGTCGTTGGTGCAAACGTGGAAAAACTGCTCTGTGAGCCTTACCAAAACAGGAAGTTATTCCAGGTACGTATGCTTTCAGGGTCTGTTATGGAAAGGCTTGACTAGAAACTTTGACTTCCCCATATCTTGTGGGTGCAAAAAAAGATGAGCAGTTTGGTTTTCATTCAGTAAGTTAAGATTCCCTTCACTTTGTCAGAGCAAAAAAAAAAAAAAAATATGGTGGTATTTTCTTTCTTTTTTAAATGTTTTTTAATGTTTATTTATTTTTGAGAGAGAGACAGACAGAGCGTGAGTGGGGGAGGAGCAGAGAGAGGGAGACACAGACTCCGAAACAGACTTCAGGCTTCGAACTGTCAGCACAGAGCCCGATGCTGGGCTCGAACTCAGGAATGGCCAGATCATGACCTGAGCTGAAGTTGAGCCACCCAGGCGCCCCCATGGGGGTATTATTTGTCAAATGTCAGGTGAAATCAGCACCAGGAGTTAAGGCCTCTTCATCAATGTGGTTTGTAATAAGCTGGAGGAGAAAACTCCCAAGTTGGGGTACCCCAGGAGGTTTCTGACATTTTAAAGAGTTTCTCAAATGACAGTTGCCCACACAGATGGTTTTGAGGCCCTAAATTTGTAGTGAAAGACACCAAAAAATTCCACACCTTGTGGCCCAGTGTTGCCCCTGGTAGACATCTGACGAGGCTGTTGGGACATGAATTCAGGCTTCACTTTCTCCCTCTGAAACCAAGTCTTGTGGACTCTAGGGACCTGTTCTCTGTTCAGCTTCACTAACTAATGAGGAAATTTTGGCCCTTGTTTGGGTCTTGTCACTCTGGCTTTTCAGTGCTTTTCTCCAGATGCTGTTTTTTAAGATATATTTCTCTTTGGGGTGCCTGGGTGGCTCAGTCGGTTTAGCGTCCGACTTCAGCTCATGGCTCATGAGTTCAAGCCCTACGTCAGGCTCTGTGCTGACAGCTCAGAGCCTGGAGCCTGCTTTGGATTCTGTGTCTCCCTCTCTCTCTCTCTGCCCCTCCCCTGCTCCCGCTGTCTCTCAAAAAGAAACATTTAAAAATAATTTTTTTAAGATATATTTCTGTTTTTTTGTTTTATTGCATAGATATTTTTTTGCCTCAAATCTGTTATGAAATCTGGTGAGTAGATACTAAGGTAACAAGTTGTCATGGTGTTCTATTTATTCAGCTGGTTGAGGAAAATTAAGTTGAGAGTGTCAATTTGTCAAATTTTGTCCATTTGGCCTCTTAATGAAAACTTATAGTGATACATCAAGCCAGACTTCATTATCTTCCATGCCGTATTAAATTGCTGAAAAGAACTTCTTTAAAAATAGGGGATATTTTGACACCCTTTACGTTCCTCAAGCACGTACGTGATCATGCACTAATGAGCCCATCTTATTATATATAACATATTACATTACATATGTTAGCCATCTTAAATATATGATATGAAGTGAGAGAGTATGAAAGTTTTAATTCATTTTATCTATAGAGAAGTAGTAGTGAAAAGGTGGGCCAGCTGCTTTATGGCTTTCTATTAGCTATTCTGAATCAAGTTGTCTATTCTTTGCCAATTTCTTATGAGTTTGTCTTACTAAGAGAAGTGCTCTCCAAAAAAAAAAAAAAAAGCAATTTGAGTCATTCTTATTGATGTTACCCAGTGGTCAGTCAGTTTTTTCCAATCATAGTCTTATTTTCTGGTTTTAAGTTGGAAATCAATGAGGAAAACCATGATCTGAAAAATCCCTGAAATATGTTTAACAGAATATTTTATTATATGCATGTATATTAGTGTAAAAGTATCTTTTTTTTAAAAACTAAGAGTCTTTTTTTAACTTGTTCTAGGTTTTGGACACGCCGTATTTACTAAATGAGAATTGGAAACACTATCTCTCTGGCATGGTATTTAACAAACCGGATATTAATCTCACTTTTGAACAAGTTTACAGGTATACATAATTGCATGATGCATTTTTTGCTACCGAAATGTTGTTGTTCCAGAATGAGAATTTTACTTTCAAAGTGTCTTTGATAAGACTCGATAAGACTTTCCAGTTTCAGAATTAAGCTGTTCTCTAGTCTTGGCAAAGAGAGTAGAAATAAGACCAGAAAGAGAATCCTTCCCCCGAAAACCTGCTAGACTTCGGTGTGGTGATGTCTCAAAGTCCCTTTGTCCAGTAGGCACTAGACCTCACTGCTTAAGGTGACCCTAAGATGCATTAATGAGACCCTCTGAAAACTCCTGTACAGAAATCACCCTGTCCCAGGTGAATACCATGTATAACAAGAACTCAGCAATGGGTCCAAATCTCAGACACGCTGATCGTGAAGCAGCTGAAGGGCCAGGCTCTGTGGTGAGGCTGCCTGGGCTCCAGTCTTGACTCTGCCACCAGGGAGCAGGCCTTGGTGATCTTGGGCAGTTTCATGTCCTCTCTGTTCAATAGGGTTCAAAGGCTCCCCAGCTCCTCTAGCAGAGATAGCAAATGAGTAGCTTATGTGCCCATCCATTGCACCTGACCCTCGTGGTAGACATTGGTAGTCAGCTGTGGTCTTGTCCATAGCCCGGAGAGTCTCAGAATCCTTCTCCACAACATGCAGGTGGACATTATCAAGCGATTGGAGATTCTACGCACCATTGAACCATCCCTGGGCTGAAAGGACAAAACCAAGCTTCTTAGCCTGGCCTGCCAGCTCTTTGTGACTCTGGCTCCTGCAGAGTCTTACCTCTGCTGGTTCGTGTATTAAGCTTTCTGTTCCAACACCACCAGCCTACTCGGGGTTCCCTGGAGAGGAGTATCACATCTCCCAGGGATGTGGGAAAGTTGTGTCTCCCAGGCATCCCTCTTCTAGAGGGCTCTGGCTGCTGAACATGAAAGAGGCACTCCCAGGAAGTGGTTGTGTCAGCAACAGGGATATGCATCAGATAAGGCCGCCCTTCTTAGTTCAGTCGAGGAGGCATTTTGCACATGTTAGAGAAGCACAGAGAGGTGAGGTCAAGGTAGGTGTCCTCACCATCTGGGTATTTGTGGCCCCCTTCCCTGTCTCCATCCTGCCATTAGAATATACATCCAACCATATGTTAGGAGAGTGAAGCTCAACCGTGAAAATATGGAGGCAGATGGTCTGGCAGGGGTTTGATTGAAACTTATCCTAAACCCCATGATATGCTTTGTAACACACCTCTTTCTAGCAGGTGTTGCTCTTTGCTGTTTGTTTTTTATGAGAACTGATGTCTTCCCAATCTGTGAACTTGTTATCGCTCATGGCTTTTTCCAAAGGCACAAAGGAGACAGACAGAAGGCTGATTTACCAGTTTTATTGTATCGGTTCCAAAGATGGGACATTTAGCAAAATAGGGAACGAAGTCAGGAACGGGAGGCTCCGGGGGGGGGGGGGGTCCACTGGTGACCTCCTCCCACGTCGGCGCTTAGAAGCTGCTTCTCTGCTCACAGATTGAAATCAAAGATAAACCGTGAACCTTTCTCTCCATCCTTAGCAGTGGACAGAGGCAGCCACAGCTGCCTTTCTAGGTCATGATTTCTCTGTTTATTCCCACAGTGATTGCAAAGAAAATAAAGGCATTTATGGCACACTTAAGCTAGAGAATAGCTATAATATCAGTGAACATCTCAATATTCAAGAGGTAAGGACTTGGAACAAATCATGAAATTGACATATTTCTTTACTAAATCCAGTTATCTTTCATTTTTTTCAGAAATACTTTCTTAAAGTTTTTTTTTTAATGTTTGTTTTTGAAAGAAGGAGAGAGACAAAGACAGAGCATGAGTGGGGGAGGGGCAGAGCGAGGGGGAGACACAGAATCTGAAGCAAGCTCCAGGCTCTGAGCTGTCAGCACAGAGCCTAACGCAAGACTCAAACTCATGAACCAAACCGTGAGATCATGACCTGAGCTGAAGTCGAATGCTCAACTTACTGAGCCACCTGGAGGCCCCTTTCATTTTTTTCTATGGAGATAAAATTCATAGAAGATAAAATTCACCATTTTCTTTTTTTTTTTTTTAATGTTTATTTATTTTGAGAGAGAGAGATACAGTGCGAATGGGAGGTGGGGGCAGAGGGAGAGGAGAGAGAGAATTCCAAGCAGGCCCCACACTGTCAGTGCAGAGCCTGACGTGGGGCTCAAGCCCACGAACCACGAGATCATGACCTGAGCCAAACCCAAGAGTCCGACACTTAACCAACTGAGCCACCCAGATTCCCCAAAATTCACTATTTGAAAGTGACATTTAGTACACTCACAAGGTCGTGCAAACCTCACATCTGTCAAATTCCAAAACATTTTCGTCACCCCCAACCAGTTGTCTTTATGGACGTATGAGTTTCTCTAGTAGACCGCACAATGCTCAAGAGGGGTCTTGCTGTGGACACTACATAAGAAGATTTTATATTGCTGTGTGTCGCTGCTCCTAGAGGGACAAACCCAGGGGACATTGGCTTTCCAACACTGGCCAGCCTCTTCTGCCGGGTCCCTGAAGAGGGAACGAGGCACTGAGAACTCTGGTCCACACAGTCGTGGCCCCTCGTGACTCACGGCTGTGGCCCCCGGACTCCATGTGGACTCTGCTGAGGTCTGCTGGCCCTCAGCAAGACAGCATGGCCACAATGATGGAAGCAGACAGAGTGGAATGATTTCCTCTTCTCCTTTGCCCAAGCCCACGCTCTAGTCTTGAGCCTTAAGACTCTGAGGAGAGGCTACTCCACAGCACACTTGACAGAAGAAAGAGCGAGAGAGTTTCAGCTGCCCAGGCCTAGGGTGCCTTCAGCCTGCACTGTCCGCCTCCCCACATCTGGAGGCCTTCTGGCCTTCTTGTAGGAAAGAACTTAAGGAGACTTCTTTCTTCTGGGCTTCCAAATGGAAGCAGATACCAAGAGATACCGAGGAAAGAGGTGATTCCCCAAACCCCACAGCTTGCCACTGAGGCATCACAGAAGGCTTCCAGAAGCACCATGAAACCATGATGGCCTGGCAGTTTTCAGATATTAAGAGGTTTATTAAAAGCTGAATACAGGGGCACCTGGGTGGCTCAGTGGTTGAGCATCTGGCTCTTGATATCAGCTCAGGTCATGATCCCAGGGTCATGGGATGGAGCCCGGAGTCAGGCTCTGTGTTAAGCATGATGTCTGCTTAAGATATTCTCTGTCTCTTGGGGCACCTAGGTGGCTCAGTCAGCTGAGCATCTGACTTCGGCTCAGGTCATGATCTCACAGCTCGTGAATTCGAGCCCTGTGTCGGGCTCTGTGCTGACAGCTCAGAGCCTGGATCCTGCTTTGGATTCTGTCTCCCTCTCTCTGCCCCTACCCTGCTCGCACTCTGTCTTTCTCTCTTTCTCTCTCTCAAAAATAAACATTAAAAAAATTTTTTTTAAGATATTCTCTCTCTTTCTCTCTTTCCCTCTCCCTCTCTTTGCCCCTCTCCCCCACTTGTGCTCTGTCTATATATAATAAAAAGAAAAAAAAGCTGGATACAAAATTTTGTATTACATTGTATTTTCTATTGTATTGATTATCCTTCTTAAATATTCCTTGCATGTATACATAAATAAAATATCTAGCCCTAACTAGATACCCTCTACTCATCTGACATCATGCCATGTTTCATTTTCTCTGTGGACCAGAGACAGAGCACTAGGGACACTCAGGCACTACACGCTGCCTAAAACTACTGACTGCCGCTTAGGACAACCCCAGTCATCAACCGTGTCCCCATGATCTCAAGTGTCCCCCACCACCCAAGTCCAGTGTGTGCTGCCTCCTTCCCCTGGGATGCAGCCTGCCTGGCCCCTTTCAGCATCTGTATTTGCCAAGACTCATTCAGAAGCCACCTCCTCTCTGGTGTCCTCTCCAGTCCCCTACCTTTGAAGACTGTCTCCTGCGCCTGGTGTCCTGATACAGTTCATGTGGCTTTATTATGACACTGCCTCTTCCTTTGAGGACTTTGAGGGTGGAGATGGAATATTATTTTGCTTTGCCTCCGACCTCCTCACATAGTGCGTGGTGTGGGGCATAAGGAAGGAGCCGGGGAAGTGGGGAAGGGGTGGAAGGGAAGAGAAGGTTACCGGGAAGAAATGTCAGTCAGGGGCATGTCTGTGTATTTTGTCCCTCGTCATTTTACTGCTCTTTTAAAGCTCTAAGTATGTGACTATCTTGAAGAATGGACTTATTTATAACTTTTCTTTTTATCATGCAGCATGCTGGAAACATAAGCAATGACTTTCAAAATATGAAAGTAAATATTGACAATATCGTTCTGCTGGATGAAGCAGGAAGAAAAAACCTTATGGATTTCAGCTTTTCAGGAATAGACGCCATAAATTATAACATCTACTTGGCTGAGGTGAGACCATGAGTTCATGCTTGATCTTTTGGGGAAAATCACAGCAGATACCCGTGGGTTGGTTTTGTTTTGTTTTTCTGTTTTTCTTTTGTTTGTTTGTTTTTAATGTAGGTGGGTTTTTTTTAAGCTGAGGTGAAATTTATATAACACAAATGAACTCTTTTAAGGTGAATAATTCATTAGTATGTAGTATAATCACAGTGCTACACAACTACCATTTCCATCCAGCTCCAAAACATCTCCGTCACTCCAAAAGAAAGCCCCATTCCCATTACACAATTGTGCCCCATTCCACACACCCCCACCCCCCAGCCCTGGTAACCACCCATCTGTTTACCTATTCTGAATATTTCATTTGAATGGAATCTGAATGGAATCCTAAGGCATGTGACCTTTTGTGTCTGATGGCCTTAAAAGGCCCCCTTTCACGTAGCCTAAAGTTTTTGAGATCCATCCCCATTATAGCACGGATCAGCACTTGATTTCTTCTTATGGCTGGATGTGGTTGGATAAAAATAATCTGGTTTTACATGTATCAATAAGGATGTAGCCGGAGTCGCCCGTGTAAGAGTTTCCAGCCTTTATGGCCATGGACGATGGTTCACTATGTTGTCTATCAGATTCCGTTAAGGCTTAAAAGTCCCACATTGATGACGCAGTTCTTTTCCCCTCTTTTGCAGCTGAGTAAAGCCCCCACCAAAGCGAACCTTTTATCCTTTGCAGATGATCTAGAAGTAAAAGCCAACCATCTGGTGAGTTCGAACATTCTGGTTTTAAATGCTGTAATCACTACAGGTGTCAAATGTCAGTACTATTCTTCGCTCCCGTACACCACAAGTAAGCTTTGGTTAAAGATGTGTCTCGTGTGCACGTCAAGACTTCCCACCAGCAGCCATTGCCGTGGCCCCCGGAAGTCGGTGAGCACGTGGACGTTTCCAGGGTGGCATCAGGGTGCCCGCGCCTGCTCCCGACCTCTGCTGGTGGCGCGGGTGCCCTCACTGTTTAGCACCAGCTCTGTTTTCACCCCATCAACCCCTCTGCCACCAAACACATGTGCAAGTGCACGCATGCGTGCCATTTTTCTTGCAGTGTAGGGAATGGAAACTGAGGACACGGGAGGGGGATTTCCATTTGGTGCTTTGCATCACCAGTGACAGGTGGATAACGGAAGGCAAAGACGCCACCCAAGCCCCGTAAGCTTCCCTTCCTCACTTCCCCTGCTGGCCGGTGACTAAATGGCTATCATGAACGGAGCAGCAGAGCATGGCCATGAGGAACCGGGGCTCAGGAGGAAGACTGGGATTTAAATCCTGGCCCAGCCACTTCCTAATTATGGGAACTTGGACAAGATGTATCGCTCCTCCGTGCCTTAGTTTCCTCATCTGTAAAACGGAAGCAATAAAGTTGCTCATTAATGCATTAATGAGCCCATTAATATGTCACGCGATAGTATATTAAACACTTTTTAAGTGTGGGTCAAATGAAAAATTTCTCAGTTGAGCCTTGCTGTTCTCATCTGCGAGACGGGGCTATCGCTGCTGTGAAATGGCTTTCTAGTGGCTGTATTTTGCGGAGGTGAGAAAGAGAGCACAGCCTCAGGCACTCAGGACAGGCTGATGGGTTTGGTGGGCACTGAGAGATCACAGTCCTGTGACTTGAAATAGGGTGTCCTGGCACTGCCCCACGTCTGGTGGGCCCCACGCCCACAGCATACAAGGAGGTCTGCACGCCCGTCACGGCTACCTTGCCCCGAGCCCCTGTGGTTAGAGAGAGCGCTCCAAAGTCTGGAAAGGTGGTGTTGACCTTTGTTTCTTTTCTTCTCTTTGCAGCCCCACGGAAGTCTGAAACAGTCCCTGAAAAACAATGCACAGACAATTAGGACGATTCACCGTAGCGAAGTCGTCCCTTTGGAACAGTCAATGGTAACGCTCGACAACCTCCGGTATTTCCCCGTGACCCGAGCAAATCCCATGTCACTAGTTGGCTTTCGTGTAGCCTAAGGAAGCATCTGCACCTCACGCGGGGGTCAAATCCAGTTGGCCTCAGGCTAAGGAATTAAAAATTAATGATAGTTGGTGCAACTGGGTGGCTCGGTTGGTTGAACGTCCGACTCAGTTTCAGCTCAGGTCAGGATCTTGTGGTTCGTGGGTTCAAGCCCGGCATCAGGCTCTGCGCTGGCAGCACGGAGCCTGCTTGGGATTCTCTCTCTTCTCTGTCTGCCCTTCTTCCCACTTCCTCTCTCTCTCTTTCTCTCTCTCTCAAAATAAATAAATAAATAACTTTTAAAAATCAATAAATCAATAGATGATAGTAGCTGGGCTTTAAACAAGACAGATTTTCAATGTTACCACCCACTCCTTTTGTGCTTTATCTCCTTGCCTTTTCCACTTGGGAGTGACCAGGTAGGTCAACCCCGTGCTTGCCCCACACACTATGCTCTGGTTCCCTGCGGCTCGATAGGCCCCCGAAGCCAGGCACCTGGCTGGGGTGATGATGTCTGTGTTCTGAACTCGCTCGCACTTACTTTCAAATTCTTTTTCTCCACACCCTGCCAAGAAATATGGGAAGGCAAGGGTAAGTCCTTTTCCCCCTGCCTCCTTTAGCTCCGTTCACTGATCCGATGGGCCGCGTTCCCTGTCTCCTCTCTCGTAGCCTCTATTGTGACTTCCCCTTTCTTTTGCTTCCGGCTGCCTTCTGGCTTCTTTCCCAAATGCCGGAAAGGCAGTTTGTAGCAGAGAGAGAACACAGGCTCTGCACTCAGGCGGAACTGATTTCAGACCCTGCTTCTACCTCCCCAAAGTCTTAGAATTTTCCATTTTCTCATCTGAAAATGGGGGGAACGGTTCCTGCCCTCCTGTTAACCTGTTTCCTGGAGACGAAAGCCCTGATGTCCCAGAGAGACTCTGTAAACAGGAGGGATTATTGTGACGCTGCTGTGGGAGACCTGTTACAGAGTCAGCTTGCTCAGGTTTGGAGAAGCACACGAGTCCACTTGACTTCAGCTTTGGAACCTCCTAGAACTAGTTTTTACCACTTCAATCTCTCTGTCTCTCTCTCTTCCTTCCCGACTTTCTCACTCATTGGAGCATTCAGAAGGAAACTGAATTTTCTTAATATGTGTGCTGCACTCATCATAATTCTCTGCTCTGTTTGTTTATGCCTAGCACAAGTTTGTTAACATTTTAAGCTTAACGGCTTTCCTTCAAGTAGACACAAGCCTCCTGGGCGTTTGCAGAGCCGAGGCAATCTGTCTACGAATAGGCAAATTGTTGTGTACAGGTGACCGATGATGTAAACCTAGGGTTAGCAAACTATGGCCCCAAAACTATAATCCAGCCCGTTGCTTGCTTTTGTAAATAAAGTTTTATTGGAACGCAGCCATGCCCTCTTATTTACAGATGACTGCAGCCGTTTTCCGCTAAAAGAGCAAAGTTGCATCTTTGGACACGGCGTGGCCCACAAAGCCTAAAATATTTACTATCTGGCCTTTGTTTTACCAATTCCTGACCTAAACCATTCAGATGGAACTACTCTGGGAAGCCAGGGTAGACTTTTGTAATTACCGCCTGCCACTTTGAGCCAACCCTACTCCGAGTGGTCTCTTGGACACCTCGTGTGGGATGTGCTGCCCTTCAAAGTTCTAGAATACAGATCCTGCTATTCTTCTTCTGCTTTTCTTACACCAGAGGTTTGTGTGGCTCACATGGTTACTTGCATCTATATTGCACAGTAAAGTCGTATTTGATGGCTGGCTGCAGGGGGAGGGGGAGAGGGAGACACAATGTTCGTGTAATAAGTTGGAAAATATTATGTATGCTTGTTCACCAGAGCTCTGTATACCAAAGCATCAAGGAACTTCAACAAAAAAGCAGCGGATTGGGGGTAAGGACTTACTTTCCTTTTCTGCCACGGAGTCTTATTATAAAAGCACACACAGCCTTTCAGAGATAATGGTTTTACAAGTATTTAAGTTAAAAAAAAAAATCCTTTGGGGCACCTGGCTAGGTCAGCCAGTAGAACTCATGACTCTTGATCTCTGGGTCATGAGTTCAAGCCCCACATTTGTGGGTGGACTTTATTTCCAAAAAAAGTGGGCGGGGGGCACCCAGGTAACTCAGTCGGTTAAGCATCTGACTTCGGCTCAGGTCATGATCTCACAGTTCGTGGGTTCAAGCACTGCATTGGGTTCTGTGCTGATGGCTCAGAGCCTGGAACTTGATTGCTTCAGATTCTCTCTCTCTCTCTCTCTCTCTCTCTCTCTCTCTCTCTCAAAAATAAATAAAGATTTAAAAAAAATTTTTTTAAAGCTTGGTTATCCACCCATTTTAAATGCAGACTGGGTTTTCCTACCATTTGCTTCCTGCAAGTACCTCTCACCTTGGCACACTTAGATACACAGGTGAAAGCCATGAGTTGATGTGTAGAATGTAAGCTCAGAAGGTACACTGGCCACTCTCACTGAGCTAATGCTGCCTACAAAATCCAGTGCCTTTGACCACAGACTCATTCTCACCGTTGGGTTGACTGCAGGCTTGTCCGCCTACCTTCCCACCCAGAGACCCAGGCTGAGGGAGCAGCTCCTGTCTGGGCCACCTCATGTCCTCGAGGTAGAAACACTAGCTGCCCTTTAAGCAACTTCTTAGAACCGGCCGCTCCATCTACGTTCCATTAGCCAAAGCAAGTGAGGCTGCCAGGCCCATCATCTTGGGCTGAGAAGCCAGAGCTCAAAAGGTATCAGCAGTCAGGAACAGTGAATACAGTCGACCACAGGGGGTCCTTCAGACTGCAGACACCCCCACAACAGAAACCGAGCTCCACGGCTACGATGTGTTTGTCTGGTACCCTCAGTGCCAACGGGCAACTCAGGAAACCTCTCTTTATTGAGCGGATTGGGCTGCCCGTGAGAGGTTGGGGATGTCAGCCCACAACCAAAAATCCCACGTTCCTCGTTCCTCCCTGCGCTTTTCTCTGAGCTCTTTTTGCAGACCTTGGTCACAGGGCTTCTTGCCACGTGTGACTGTGTGACACGTGTCCCCGCGAACCATGAGCAACTTCGCTAGTAGTTAGCACACTCCCCGGGCAGCCCTGGGCCTGCTTCTTTGTTGGCACGGGAGACCCTGAGTTCCCCTGAAGGCTCTTCTGTGAGGTTTGCTCGGCTTGGGGACCGTCACTGTTCCTCTCGTCACAGTTGCCATTTCACACATGTGTGTCCTGGGCCAAGGGAGCCTGGGACAGACCGGTAACTGTGTGCGCGTCCCTTGCCATCCTGTGCATCTGGACGTTCATGGTGACAGCGTGAGCTGCGCGTTGCCCTTCACGAGGGGTCAGTGGGGGGGCGAGTTGGGGTGGAAATGCATCTTTGACCCACTGGCCAAGCTGGGTACCCTGAGGTCTCCGGGCAGAACAGAAAGGGCACCTTTTTAATTTGCACCAAGCTGCCATGTCGGAGTTCTTACCTGTGTCAAGAAACTAGGTGCACATCCGGGCTCTTATGCCCCCAACCTGGTGACGTCAAGCAGGGTCAGCCACCTCCTCTGTGAAGGGGGCCTGATAATGCCTTCCTACAGCCTGTGAGTACAAGAGCCCGCCCCCCGCGCTATCCATGGGGGATACATTCAGCGGATGCCACGGGCAGTACTGAACCAGTGCGTGCATAGCTACGATAAAGCTGAATTTACAAATTAGGCACAGTAAGGGGTTAACAGCAATAATCAATAATAAAATAGAACAATTGTAAGAATGTACTGTACTAGAAGTTATGTGAATGTGGTCCCACTCTCAAAATCTCTGACTCACCTTTCTTGCGAGGATGTGACGTGGTAAAAATGCCTGACCGGGGGGATGAGGTAGGCATGTGAGGGAGCGTTAGGCTGTTATCAGCATTTCTAACCATCTATCAGAAAGAGGATCTTTGCTTCTGGACCCTGAGTAACGGAAACCGTGGATAAGGGGGACCTCCTGTACTCAGGGAGGCGATTTGGATCAAGGGCCCAGCCCAGTGTCTGCCACAAAGTGAGTGTTCAGTATGACATTTCTTGTCCCCCTGCCCTCAGAGGGCTGAGCTGGCTCAGTCGTCTTCTTGACTAGCAGGTCGTCGTGGGATGGGGCTGAGCTGACCGCACGGGCACCGACAGGCAAACTAGTGAAATCCCTTCATCACGTGACACTTGTCGATTGCTGTGTTTTCCAGATGAAAGTGACCAATACCCTTTCCTCTTTGGATTCCGCTCAGGACTTCCTCACAACCCGTATTTCCTCGGTTATTGTTGAAGTAAGTTTTCTTTTTAAAAAATATGTATGGCCATGGGGAAGGGGAAGGAAAAAAAAAAAAAAAAGCCAGAGAGGGAGGGAGCCAACCCATAAGAGACTCTTAAAAACTGAGAATAAACAGAGGGTTGATGGGGAGAGGGAGGGAGCAGAGGGTGGGTGAGGGGTATTGAGGAGGGCACCTGTTGGGATGAGCACTGGGTGTTGTATGGAAACCAATTTGACAAGAAATTTCATATTAAAAAAAATATACGTATGCCAGTAAGTGGGCATGTGCCCATAACTACGTGACCTCATAGCATCCTTTTAACGGTTTTCCTACCCTTCGATTTCTTTCCAGGAAAGTCAGAAGTATGGGAACACGATAGTAGGATACTTTGAACGCTATCTGCAGTGGGTCAAAATCTCAGTAAGTACTTTCTCTTTTATGAACACAAGAGGGCCATGTGTTAGGATGGCCATGTTGTTGGATACAATCAGGAGGAGATAAAATGAAAATCCTAGTAATTGGGTAGGAGAGATAAGTCAAGGGCCTCGAACAGGGACCATGATGGGAGGTGGCATAAGACACAGCACGTGTTGTCCACACTGGACCCCTTCTCGGGCCTGACACCGAGCGGGAGAAAATGCCCCTCACATCGTCCCTCAGCTCCCTTGCTCACCATTATAGGAGTTCTGGCCACACTTGACTGTGTCTCCCCAGTGAACTGTGAGCTGCTTTTGCAATGGTGGCTTGGGCAGCGCTCAGCCTGCCATGCTGTTGGTGGATCAGTCGACTAGGGGTGTCTTGAGCTACAGAAATTTGTTTTCTCACAATTCTGGAGGCTGGAAGTCTGACATCAAGGTGTCAGCAGTGTTGGTTTCTTTAGAGTCCTCTCTGCTTGGGCCGTAGACAACCATCTTCCCCATGTGTCTTCACGAGGTCTGCCCTCTGTGCATGTCTGTGCCCAAATTTCCGCTTCGTTTATAAAGATGCCAGTCACATTGGATTAGGACTCAACCCTAATGACCTCATTTTAACTGAATTGCCTCTTCAAAGACCCTACCTCCAGATACAGTCACATTCTGAGATACCAGGAGGTAGGGCTTTAACACACGAATTTGGGGGAACACAATTCGGTCCACAACAGTTGGGTCTCCCTGAATACATTAGAAGAGGAAAGTCGAGGAGCAGAGTGAAGTTTCCGGTGGTTTCAAGGCAGCACGTTGCTCCCAGCAGCCAGCTTGTGGAGAAGTATAGTGTCTTGGAAAATGCCTTTTGTCATCTTGGGCTCTGGGCCAGCTCCCCTCTGTGAGGATTATTCCACTGGGGCAGGGTTTGCGGGGGGGAGATGCTTGCCGCTGAGTTACTTGATCAACTTGGGCTGAGTCACTTGGGCTACTTGCTGTTAGCCAAGAAGGGCTCTGAGAAGTCTGGAGACTCAGGAAGTCTTCGACTACCTCCAAGCGGTCATGAGCTTCTCACACCTATTCCTGGCCCTTGGCCGCGTGAGCCCAGACTACCAACCATCTCCTCCCTCTTTGCTGCCCCACCGCGGATTCCAGCCACACCCCACTGCTTGATTCTCTGAAACGTTCACACTTCTCCATGTGATCTCCTCTGTGTCATACCCCCCTCCCCAGTCCCTACCCCTAGTCCCCACCATCTGGGCCTCGTGTATCTGGTTCTCCTTCAAGGCCCAGCTTCCTGATGTCTGTGCTGACACCTCCCACCCACCAGATGGGAAGACCGCAGGGTCCTCTCAGTGCTGGCATGAGGCGTGTGCACACGTGGGTGAGTAGCGGGGAAGAGATACATGACCGTCATTGCCGCCACGGCCACCGGACCCTGTGCGTATCCTCCACCAGATCAAGGAACCACATTTTAGTCACATCCATACCCAGAATATGAAACAAATACCCTGAAACCAAAGGGAATCTGGACAAGAATGGTTAAGTCACACGAGAGCCATGCCATGGAAATATTGGGTGACTGTTGGTACCAAATGGCTCAGAGCTATGCTGTGGGGCTAGGGGAGATTTTCACAGGGTTATAAATAAAGGAGAAAAGCAAGATGCAGAAAGCATACAGAGTATGACTCCAACCCCAGTTTTTGTAAAAACCCGACAGTGAAAAAGCCTATGAAGAAAGAGGTAGGCTGGTTGAGCTTGGTGAAAATGAAGTTGTTAACATGGATTGCCTTGGAAGGTATAGATGGTGGAAGAAAAAGGGAAGGTTTACCAACCAATAAAGGAAACGAGCTAACGTCGAGCTCATTGTATGTACTCAAAGGTTCTTTTTTGTTTTAAAAAAAAGATTTTCTTTTAAGTTTATTTATTTGTTTTGAGAGAGACAGAGACTGCAAGAGTGGGGAAGGGGCAGAGACAGAGGGGGAGAGAATCTCAAGCAGACTTCGTACTGTCAGCCCAGAGCCCAATGCCGGGCTCGAACCCACGAAACCATGCGATCACGACCTGAGCTGAAATCAAGAGTCAGACGCTTAACTGACTGAGCCACCCAGGCACCCCAAAGTTTTTTAAAACGCCTGACTATAGCTATCGTAAGTCAATGGGATTGGAGCATCTGTTTGGGATTTATTAAACGTGTTTATTTTAAACTCATTAATGAGTAAATAGTTTTCTGTCTTCTAAAAAAAAATGTATTTTTTTTAATTTTAGAGAGTGTGTGTGAGTGGGGGGAGAGGGGCAGAAGGAAAGAGAGAGTGAATCCCAAGCAGGCTCCATGCTCAGCACGGAGCCCAAAGTGGGGCTTGACCCACAACCCTGAGATCAGGACCTGAGCTGAAATCAAGAGTCGGACACTCAACTGACTAACCCACCCAGGCGCCCCTATTTTCTTCTTATTTTTTTCTTATTTTATTTATTTATTTCCTTATTTATTTTAGTTTTCTGTCTTCTAAAATGGGGTCTGCAGGTAGCACGGTTTTATTGGCACACAGCCACCCCCATTGGTTTATACATCATCTGCGGCTGCTTTCACCATTTTTTTTTTTCAGAGTCCAGCACTTGCGACAGAAATGTCTTGGTCTGTCCTGCGAGGTAGAAAATATTTACTCTCTGGCCCTTTCTAGGAAGAGTTTGCCAAGCCCTGGTCCAAAATATATAATTATTGATTTATTAGCTTTCCATTTTCTTCCACATCCTTTGTCAGATCTCAAAGGGATCGGGTAAGAAATTCAGCCCGAGACCCTGGACCTGACACTTGTACTCCATTCTCCCAGGAGCCTGGTAAGGGTGGGTGTTATGGTTCCATAAAACAAGTGTAGAAACCAGAGACCGAGAGGCAGAGAGAATCAGCATCTTGCTTTCAAGTACCTGCTTTTAAACATTGTCAAACTCATCCATAGAAATCAGCATTCTGCTCCATATCAACGAGGGTGTAGAGATCCTTTTGGTGAAAATAGGTCAAAGGTAAATGGCATGTCTGATTCTTGTGGATTTTTGTGTGTGTGCCTCAAAGTTCACTCGTGTTTCTTACCCCCTAGATTACTGAGAAAATTGCAGCCTGCAAACCCGTGGCCACCGCTTTAGACTCTGCTGTTGACGTCTTTCTGTGCAGCTACATTATCGACCCCATGGTAAGAATGGTGAAATTTCATCTTTCAAAATAAGGAAACACAGTAAACTCATCAATCTTCATTTTTTGTTTGCAGATTGTAGTACACCCTATGATATAAAATACTTCTGTGCTTGGGTCTGTTAACAGCCGTAGAATCCAAGACCTGAAATCTAAAATTGAGATGAATGTGTTAGGATACTTCAGGGTGGCTGGGTGGCTCAGTCGATTAAGCACCCGACTCTTGATTTTGGCTCAGGTCATGATCTCACGGTTCGTGGCATCGAGCCCCGTGTCGGGCTCTGTGCTTACAGCATGGAGCCTGCTTGAGATTCTCTCTCTCCCTCTCTTTCTGCCTCTCCCCCGACTCTCAAAATAAATAAACTTAAAAACAACAACAACAAAAAGGCCTGTCCCCTGCAACACCGTCAACCCCCTGAGCAGACGGCCTGTGCGTTGCTGTGTCCCTGTCATCTGGCATATTGCCTGGCACAGGCAGTTGAATGAATGAAAGATGATCAAACAGCTGTCTGTCCAAGTGCATCTGTACTGCTCCGTCTGTCATCTCCCTGTCCCACATCCACATGCCCATCTATCTGCTGGATGGACTTTCACACCTGAATGGAGACGCTCCTGTCCTCTTCTGGCCATGCAGACCCCAAGGTTTGGCTTCCTGGCCGCTTCCCTCCTCCCCAGACCCTAACCCCTTCGTCCTGCTTCTTGGACCCCTGCTGATGGCTTTGTAGGTGTGTCCTGGACTAACCTGGTTGATTCTTTTTTTTTTTTTTTTTTTAATGTTTATTTGTTTTTGAGAGACAGAGAGACTGACAGACGGACAGAGCATGAGGTGGGGAGGGGCAGAGAGAGAGGGAGACACAGAATCTGAAGCAGACTCCAGGCTCTGAGCTGTCAGCACAGAACCCGACGTGGGGCTCGAACTCATGAACCACGAGATTGTGACCTGAGCTGAAGTCGGACGTGGAACCGACTGAGCCCACACAGGTGCCCCTAACCTGGTGGATTCTGAATTGATCTCCTTGCCTTTGGTCTTCACAGCCTGCCCCCAGCCAGTCAAATCACCCAACTATCGATGCTTTTCCCCCAGTAATTGAGGACCAGTGGAAGGGAGGCCTAGAGGCTGGAGCTTTGTAGCGAGGTGGTTTAAATAGTAAGAAAGAGCTCTGGGCATTGATTTTGCCAGGAAAGTGGACCCCAGGCTGCCCAACATGTTTCTTTTATACCTTGATTGTTCCCGAAAGAATTATGGCAGCTTCCAGTAAAAGGATTGGTTGTCATAAAGCTCTAAAGCCTCTCAAAGCGAGGTTTGAATGCACAGAAATCTACCAATAAAAGAACACGTGGGGAAAGGAGAACAAATTTACTGGAAATTCTGGGCCAAGAGGTGCCACTGCCACCCGACAGTGCGCTCTGTCCGGAGGAAGGCAGAACGTCAGTGGCTGAGCTGTGAGGGTTGGAGGGCGGCGGAGGAGGGCCGCTGTCACATCCAAGCTGCCTTTTGCCTCCCGGTAGGCTGGGGAGGCTGTCCTGATGTTACCTACAACATCACCCTAAGGCAGCGGCCATAGACCCGAACCTCTACAGGCCAAGCGTAAGACACTGGCTGGCGTATGGTGTCGTCGGGGTCTCCAGCTGCGTCTCTTCTGATTGGTGGATAAGGCCAAATAGCGTTGGGCGTCACCCCTGCAAAAGCTAGTGGTGTGGCCAGGCCCCAAACAAACGCGGACCTTCTTGATGGAAGAACCACCACCCAGCGGCTGCTGGTGTTGCCTTGTGGGGATGGGGGCTCAGTCTGTGAGACTGAACTTGAAGACTTTTCAAGAAAGACGTGACTCCAGATTTCTGTGTGAAGCCTGACTTAGGAATGTTGGCAACTATCTTTTGAAAAATACCTTCGCATGCTTTTTAAACAAAATAGGGTTGAATGCAGCCTATGATCTGCCCTTAAGCTTGGTTAAGTTAAATGTGGAATGTTTGTTGAGAGCCTAGTAGGTGCCGAGCGCCGGTCCTGCCTTCTCCACACAATAGTGTTATGGGATAAAGATGCTACGGTCCCGCGGTTCTGATGCAGAGCAAAGCCAGAAAGGTGAATTAGCCTCGTCAAACAACTCAGAAAAGGGATTAAGCTCAGGCCTGCTGGTCCGCCATGCTCCTATCGTAGGCAGCAAAGGGATGCCATCTGGTGGGGTCCTAGATGCAAACCCTTGCTTCCCCACTTGCTCCCACTGGTCCTCATTTGTAAAATAAATATAATAGGATCGAGTCAAGGTTTTCGGAGAGATTTAATGAATTGCAGCAACATGTAGCCTTTCACACAGTAGATGACTCCCGTTGCATTTACAAATGGTTTCAATGAACACAATTAAACCTCATTAAACAATGGCAGAGAAAAGAAAAAGCAACTGCTGCTTTCCATTTTCCCGTCTTGAGGCCTCTGATCCTCCTGATTTTCTTTTTTTCCCTAGAATTTATTTTGGTTCGGCATAGGAAAAGCCACCGTATTTCTACTTCCGGCTCTCATTTTTGCTGTAAAGCTGGCCAAGTACTATCGTCGAATGGATTCAGAGGATGTGTATGAGGAGTAAGTAGACAAGTTTCTACAGAGGCTGGGGGAGGGGGGTCATTTTCTAAGAGGCACTGACTTCAGAACGAGCCCCGATGAGATTAAACTTGGTCTTTTTTTAAAGTAGGGGGTCACTCTGGTCAGGTGTCTTCTTTGTACCTTTCTTATGCTTGTTTTAATTGTTCTCCCTCTTGCTTCATCTTCTCAGTGTCCTTAACCAGCCTTCTTATTTCTTGTTTGCAGATCCTCTGTCTTGGGGATTTGGCACTTTACTTTATAGCTGTGTTTACTAGTTTTCACTTTGACTCTGTAGTATGTACCTTTATGCTTCATGTTTTACGCCACTCACCTCCTTCGTGATGTGTGTCTCTCCTGAATTTACTTGGGTAGTGTCTGTATTAGGGTAAAAACAAATGTGGGGGATCCAGCTGTCGAGCTGTGATCGTAATTAAAAACAATAATTGTCTCCCTTTTTAGTATTTTATAGTGCTGAAACTGTATCCGTCAAAAAGTAAGCCTTTTCTTTTTTTTAAAACCATATTCCTAAGATGGGACTGGGAGGTCTTTATTATTATGTGATGGACTTTTAAAACGGAATTAATAGCATCTTAAAATTACATGACAATGTTAGATATGCCCAGATAAAAATCTGTGCTGATGCCTCTACAACAGGGCCAGCACACACAAGGCACTGAAGGAATACTTGTTAAATTAATGATATTTTTATAGGTTAAGTTTATTAATATATAAAATGGCTGTTTCAGTGTTTGGTTTTTAAAGGGAGCAGAATGTGAATATAGCTTTTTTACTCTCTTTGTAGATTTAACAAATGCTCACGTGCTTTTCATGACCCCTTGCATTGCCTTTGTAGCTCACAATGTTAATACTTCATCTTAGAGATAACATGGTGTTTTTGGTGTATTTATTTTTGTTTCAGTATGGAAAATGGTAATATTGGTTTTCATAGACATCATTCCACTCAGACTGTATGAACAAAGTTTTTAAACAGAGCCAACGGCACGAGTTCTTGATCTACAGCGTCTCTGAATACTGGAAAAGAAACCTTCCCTTCCAGAGTTTACAGAGTTTAGTGATTTTTGTATGCAACACTCACTGATGCGCCAAAGAGTAAAAAGTGTGCATTCACAGCTGTTTTGGTTTTTGTTTTGTTTTCTCTCCAGAAGTTTTGCTTTAATCATCTGAGCCTTCTATGAAAGTTCCAATATGTATTACATTCATTCATTTCCAGTTTAGTTTTCAGAACAAGGCATGAATTGTGTCACATTTCATTGCTTGGGAACCTAGACTTGTAGCTAGGCAAAATCCAGCAAATAGCAGTTGTGTGTGTGAACAATAAACGTGATTTCAGAAATCTGACTCTAATCTTCTTATTGAAACACATACCTATATTATAGACATCGATTATGTCACTGTGTCATTTGCTCAAGGCTGCTGTAACAAGTTACACAAGGTGGGTGGCTTAAAGCAGTAGAAGTATCTTCTCCCACAGTTCTGGAGGCCGGAAGTCTGAAATGCATTCATCAGCACAGCTGGTTCCTCCAAGGGGGATCGCACAAGAGTCTGCTCTATGCCTTTTTCCTAGATTCTGATGATTGAGACGATCCACGGCATTCCTTGGACACTCACTCCAGTCTCTGTCTCTGTCTTCCCATGGAGTCTTCCTTGGGTGCCTGTGTCCAGATTTCCCTGTGCTTCTAAGGAGTCATTGGATCAGGGCCCATCCTAATCAAGAATGATCTCATCTTAATTTCATCACATCTGCAAACAACCTATTGGCAAACATTTGCAGGTTCTAGGTGATATGAATTTGGGAGGGAACACCATTCAGACCAGCACAGTCATCCAGCAGTGATAGCAAATAGCCAAAAAGATAGGGAAGGAAACTCAAAGGAGAGCAACACTATACACCCTCTACACACAGAAACTAAGTTAAATTACCAAAATCACAAAAGATAGAAAAATTATAAATTTTGTTAGACACATACAAAATAGTGACTCATCTCCCTCTTAATTTTATGTTCATCTCTTTATTTAAGAGCATGTTAATACTCCACTGCTTGTGAGCAGAAAGTGTCTCTTCATCTAACACCATGATGCCTGGCCCCTGCTACACAATGGATTCATGTGGCTGATGCTGAGGACCCACCCTGAGAGATTTGGATATAGTGGCCTGAACATGTGGATGCTTAAATTTCCTCAGATGATTCTAATAGACGGCCAAGGCTGAGAAACACTTCCCTGGATTAACAGACCACTTTCTGGGCTACACCCCATGCAGTTCTCGTGCAGCCTGGCTTCAGAACTACAAATACAGTTCCATGTGCATTTCATCCAATTAATAGGTAACTACTTATCATCTGCTGTGTCCCAAGCAAGTTCAAGATGCTGATGGAAGAGAGGTGAGCTAACAGATTGGCCCAACCTCCCAGAAGCTCAATGTCAGTGTTGGAACCAAGACAACACACTCTCTGTGTCAGAGACACAGAAGCCTGGGTGGTGGTGGGGATCAAGGGAGGTTTGCTGCCATTGAGTTTCTAAAATTGTATGAATTGGAGAAAGAAGATGGCAGCGTAGGAGGACACTGGGCTCACTGCGTCCTGTGGATCACTTAGATTCCACCCACACCTGCCTAAATAACCCAGAAAACCATCAGAAGACTAGCAGAACGGCCTCTCTGGAGCCAAGCGTAGACAAGAGGCCCACAGAAGAGGGTAGGAAGGGTGGAGAGGCGGTGCGTGCTACACGGACTGGCGGGAGGGAGCCGGGGCAGTGGAGGGGCAGCCCGCCCGCAAGGTGGAATCCCTGAGCCTGGCTTGCAAAAGCGGAGGGGCCAGACTCCATGAGTTATGACAGCCAGTGGGACTTAACATCTGGAATGTTATAAGTCAACAGCTCTGCTCGGAGAGCGGGAGGGCGAGAGGACACCGGAAGGGAAGTTTGTTGAGCCCTGGAAGACAGAGCTGGCCAGCGCCATCTCCCTCTCCCATCCCCCAGCCGAAATCCCAAAGGGAACCAGTTCCCATCACTGAACTTGCTTGCACCGTGGAAACACCCAACACTGTGCTTCTGTGGATCCAACCTTCTGATGAGTCAGCCTCCCTCCCGGTGCTGCAGGGCCCCTCCCGTAGGGGACCGCAGATGGCAAAGTGAGCTGAGCCTGCCCCTCCCGCCCCTGTGCACCTTGCAGATCCACCCTAGCTAATACGCCATTGGCCAGATCCCATCGAAGCAGCACCACAAGCCTGGCAGTGTGCAAGCAGCCCAGACAGGAGCCACACCACTCCACAGTGAGTCCCGCCACTGGGAGAGGGGAAGATAAGGTACATACCAGGCTGACTGTGGCCCCAGCGGTGGGCTGGGGACAGACATCAGGTCTGACTACGGCCCCGCCCACCAACACAAGTTACTCCAGACAGCACAGGGGAAGTGCCCTGCAGTTCCACCCCAGAGACTACCCAAAATGATGAAACAGAACTCTCCTCAAAAGAAACTCCAGGAAGTAGTGACAGCTAACAAATTGATCAAAAACGATTTAAGCAATATAACAGAACAAGAATTTAGAATAATAGTCATAAAACTAATCGCTGGGCTTGAAAAAAGTATAGAAGACAGCACAGAATCTATTGCTACAGAGATCAAGGGACTAAGAAATAGTCATGAGGAGCTAAAAATGCTATCAATGAGGTGCAAAATAAAACGGAGGCGACCACAGCTCGGATTGAAGAGGCAGAGGAGAGAATAGGTGCATTAGAAGATAAAATTATGGAAAAAGAGGAAGCTGAGAAAAGGAGAGATAAAAAAATCCAGGAGTATGAGGAGAGAATTAGAGAACTAAGTGATGCGATGAAACGGAACAATATCCGTAAAATAGGAAGAGGAAGAGAGAAAGGGGCTGAAGGTGTACTTGAAGAAATCATAGCTGAGAACTTCCCAGATCTGGGGAAGGAAATAGGCATTGAAATCCAAGAGGCACAGAGAACTCCCTTCAGACATAACTTGAAGCAATCTTCTGCATGACATATCATGGTGAAACTGGCAAAATACAAGGATAAAGAGAAAATTCTGAAACCAGCTAGGGATAAACATGCTCTAACGTATAAAGGGAGATCGATAAGTCTAGTGGCAGACCTATATACTGAAACTTGGCAGGCCAGAAAGGAATGGCAGGAAATCTTCAATGTGATGAACAGAAAAAATATGCAGCTGAGAATCCTTTATCCAGCAAGTCTGTCATTCAGAATAGAAGGAGAGATAAAGGTCTTCCCAAACAAACAAAAACTGAAGGAATTCATCACCACTAAACCAGCCCTACAAGAGATCCTAAGGGGGATTTTGTGAGTGAAATGTTGCAAGGACCACAAAGTACCAGAGACATCAGTACAAGCATGAAACTACGGACATCACAATGACTCTAAACTCATATCTTTCTATAATAACACTGAATGTAAATGGACTAAATGCTCCAACCAAAAGACATAGGGTATCAAAATGGATAAAAAAAACAAGACCCATCTATTTGCTGTCTACAAGAGACTCATTTTAGACCTGAGGACACCTTCAGATTGAAAGTGAGGGGATGGAGAACTATCTATCATGCTACTGGAAGTCAAAATAAAGGTGGACTAACCACACTTATATCAAACAAACTACACTTTAAATTAAAGGCTGTAACAAGAGATGAAGAAGGGCATTATATAATAATTACAGGGTCTATCCATCAGGAAGAGCTAACAATTATAAATGTCTATGCACCAAATACAGGAGCCCCAAATATATAAAACAATTAATCACAAACATAAGCAACCTTATTGATAAGAATGTGGTAATTGCAGGGGACTTTAATACTCCACTTACATCAATGGATAGATCATCTAGACACAGAATCAATAAAGAAACAAGGGCCCTGAATGATACATTGGATCAGATGGGCTTGACAGATATATTTAGAACTCTGCATCCCAAAGCAACAGAATATACTTTCTTCTCGAGTGCACATAGAACATTCTCCAAGATAGATCACATACTGGGTCACAAAACAGCCCTTCATAAGTATACAAGAATTGAGATCATACCATGCACACTTCAGACCACAATGCTATGAAGCTTGAAATCAACTACAGGAAAAAGTCTGGAAAACCTCCAAAAGCATGGAGGTTAAAGAACACCCTACTAAAGAATGAATGGGTCAACCAGGCAATTAGAGAAGAAATTAAAAAATACATGGAAACAAATGAAAATGAAAATACAACAATCCAAACTCTTTGGGATGCAGCGAAGGCAGTCCTGAGAAGAAAATACATTGCAATTCAGGCCTATCTCAAGAAACAAGAAAAATCCCAAATACAAACTCTAACAGCACACCTAAAGGAAATAGAAGCAGAACCGCAAAGACAGCCTAAATCCAGCAGAAGAAGAGAAATAATAAAGAGCAGAGCAGAAATAAACAATATAGAATCTAAAAAAAAACTATAGAGCAGATCAATGAAACCAAGAGTTGGTTTTTTGAAAAAATAAACAAAATTGATAAACCTCTAGCCAGGCTTCTCAAAAAGAAAAGGGAGATGACTCAAATAGATAAAATCATGAATGAAAATGGAATTATTACAACCAATCCCTCAGAGATACAAGCAATTTTCAGGGAATACTATGAAAAATTATATGCCAACAAACTGGACAACCTGGGAGAAATGGACAAATTCCTAAGCACCCACACACTTCCAAAACTCAAACAGGAAGAAATAGAAAACTTGAACAGATGCATAACCAGTGAAGAAATTGAATCAGTTATCAAAAATCTCCCAACAAATAAGAGTCCAGGACCAGATGGCTTCCCAGGGGAATTCTACCAGACATTTAAAGCAGAGATAATACCTATCCTCCTCAAGCTGTTCCCAAAAATAGAAAGAGAAGGAAAACTTCCAGACTCATTCTGTGAAGCTAGCATTACTTTGATTCCTAAACCAGACAGAGACCTAGCAAAAAAAGAGAACACAGGCCAATATCCCTGATGAATGTGGATGCAAAAATTCTCAATAAGATACTAGCAAATCGAATTCAACAGCATATAAAAAGAATTATTCACCATGATCAAGTGGGATTCATTCCTGAGCTTCAGGGCTGGTTCAACATTTGCAAATCAATCAATGTGATACATCACATTAATAAAAGAAAAGATAAGAACCATATGATCCTGTCAATCGATGCAGAAAAAGCATTTGACAAAATTCAGCATCCTTTCTTAATAAAAACCCTTGAGAAAGTCGGGATAGAAGGAACATACTTAAACATCATAAAAGCTATTTATGAAAAACCCACAGCTAATATCATCCTCAATGGGGGAAAACTGAGAGCTCTCT